GACTCTTGAGAATTTAAATTTGTAATTCCGTTTTCATAGACTGGTTTCAGGTACTCTGGTAATTCTTGAGTATCTCCCTGGCTAATTGTTGCTATAATTTTTCCTTTGTCACAAATTGGTTGACTCACATATGCAACAGGTACAAGTAATGCTATTTCAGTATGCTTCGGTACTGTAATTGCATGGTCCTCTGGATTATATAACCGAATGTAAAACTCTGTATTGCTTGAATCAAGAAGTGTTCTGGCAACTCCTAATTTATACGAACTAACGAAAGTTTTCAAAGGCATTGGTATTCCAATTTTCCCATCAGCATTCATAAGCATAGATCTTACAACAAATTCATGTCTGCCTGGTATGGTAAAAGAATCCAGATTATAAATTTTTCTCGTTGGACAAACTTCATTCACATCATTTTCTTGATCATATGTAAAACTCAAAGCACAATGTTGATAGTTCCAATTACACTTGAACTTCACAATGAAATCTTCTCCCAGTAAATCATGTGTGACTCCTCCAACAAAAACACGAAATTCAATATCAACATCCTTCAAAGTAAGAATCATTTTAGCAGTACCCAGAAGTTTTAGTTTACGTCCATCAGCTGATAAAAATTTACTTTTCACTTGCTCTAGTACAGGACGATTATCCAAAGGAATGCTATAAAATGTTTCTTCAGTGATAAAAGTTTTCCTCGCTCCTGTGTCAATTTTCCATGTTACTGGTGTTCCCTGAATTAAACCATTAACCAAAAATCCATTCCTTCCTGGGATTAAAATGTCAGATGTATTCTTCTCAAGAACATCACAATAATCACTTTCATTGAGCTTCATATCCATAGAATCAGTATTACATGCTTCCTCATGAGCTCTGTTATTAACTACTTGTAAATTACTGTGAGTTATCTCTTCTGTACTAGGCCTATTCATATCAGCGACCAACGCACGGCCTACTGCCTCGGTCTCCCGCTGTTTAACTGTTTGACAGTTCCACTCATTGCACTGCTTATGTTCCCCTTATTATTGACAGGACAATTCCTTAGAAGATGTTGTGTTGAATTACATTTGAAGCAAGCCCTCTTCACACGTTGTCTCATATTATCAAATCCATTACTCCCATCATTTGGTTGGCTAACTTGATAAATTCTGGGCTTTGTCAAGGTTTTCGGATCTCTGTTTTGTTGTTCACTAATCCTTATGCATTCTTCTTGCATTGCAGCCGTTACTGCTTCTTGTAATGTTTTAGGTCTAGTTCTCCTAACTGCAAGCCTAAAATTTTCCATCTCACTGCAGTTATCAAGGAAAGTCTTTAGACTACATTCTTGAACATACTCTCGGCTTTCAGGGTGAGCTCTTCGATACAAATCTTCCAGACACTGAGCAAAATCCCTATATGATTCACCTTCCTTCTTTCTTCGTAGTTTTGCCTCTGCAACATAACTTTCCTTCATTGCCTTGTGTCCAAATCTATTATCCATTGCCTTGATTAGTTCCTCATAACTATTTCTCTGTTCATCTGATAATCCATAAGCATATGTTTCGGCTTGTCCTCTCAAGGTAGTAAATAAAATTCGTCTTCTACGATCAAAATTCCAGTTATTGAGAACAGCAACATTTTCAAAATATCTTATGAATTCGGTCCATATTTCATTTCCATCTCCTCTGAAAGTACGCTTTACATTGACTTGATGTGTGGATTCCGGAAATGGTGTTCCAATATTGCGCTCTTTGCCATTGCCACATTTTCCTGGTGTATTTTGATAGATATTCCATCTATTTTCTGATTTGATTGATTCCTTAGAAAATTTTGCAATCAAACTTATGATCAATAAACACAGCGTAACAATTCCAACAGAAATAAGAAATTCCTTGGTCAAGCAAAGAAGCATGTATCCCGGAAAATAACGATATAATCCAAGAACAGAAACACATCCACAGAAAAACATTAAAATCCAAAATAATGTTAACATATTCCATTTTGAATGTGAAGAATTTTCTCCCTGAAGTCTCCCATTTTGTACAATTTCAGGTGAATTTTCGTCCACAAATGAATCCTCCAATCTTCGCCTGACATTTGAAATTCCCGAATTTGAAAATAGTCCCGGCGTCCTTTGTTTCAGAGTTCTGTCACAATTTGTCATTTCCATGTCCATTAACGAATACGACGTTTCATCCATTTTTCATTCAACGTTTTCTCTATTTAACATGTGCCTTAATCCTGCATTTACAACTTGGACATCTATAATATTGAGTAATGATTTTTCCATTGTCCGCACTAATTTTATGATGGTTTTCATTCTTCAAAAACATAACAAAACAATTTGGACACTCTTTCCGATTATCAACACGAATAAATCCAATGAAAATCAAATCTCCAGAATCACTATAATCCAACACATTTGCAAATTTAGGTCCGTTAAGATCCATTTTAGTTCACAATAAAATCCACAAATTATCAACAAATTATCCCACCGCTGCCACCATTTGTAGCGTTTCCGAGTAAATCCTTTTCACATTCATATTTTGGTAGCTCTCAATCATAATTCCTCTTTGTAATAAAACACAAAATAACGGTAAAATGTTTATTAAATCCAAATGAAAATAAAATATAATTCAAATCAATGTCACAAAGTATAAATCCAAAAGAATTGAATGAAAGGCACTTAAAATAATTATTCCAATGTAACTCAAGTTAAATTCCCATTATTAAACTACTCTTTCAAATTACTCCCCCAAATTACTCCCCTCTCATTATAAAATGAGCCTGCTTATATAGTTTATGACTCCTCTTACTCCTCCTAATGTCTCCCCTAAAGTAAACTAAGGTCAAGCTATAAAGTCTAAACACTATAAATCACTACCATTGTATAAAACCTCCTCCTAACCTAATTAACAGCTCCCCATGACCTCTTTGCAGTCTGGGTCAAGACATTGATAAACAATCTAGTCTAAGAATAAAAGTAAAATAATAAAAACATACTAATCTACTGAATAAGAAAAGTAAATATAAAAAAATAATAAAGATAAAAAAAAATCATTATGCTACAAACCTTTTTGAGATTGTATATGCCTTTTAACCTAAAAAATAATCCATATAAATACGAAAATTCAATTCATTTTCTCATCGTTTTTTCCTCACTTCAAATTTAATGCCATGTTGACACTCGGAACTCTCTGGATTGTTCATAGAAAATGCACAGTGTACGAGTTATCGCCCGTGTTTATTTTGCAACATTGCCAATACACGGAACGAATTCTATCGTTAAACCGGGTCTGTAGGACAATATCATTTTAACGATAGAACGTTCTATCTAAATACACTCAAATGCCATGGATATGTCGAAGTGATTTGCAAGTCCCAACCACTTATTCTTTTAAGTACTTTACCGGTCCCATTGAGTTTGAGATAACGAGGTTTGACTGTATTTTAAACCTTGCTTCCAACAATTTGGGACATTTTGTACCGTTCCTGTATTTCCATGGTATGGGGCAACATAGAAAACATAATGAACATATACAGTGAAAAACTGTCTAATCCAACACCTGTGCAATCCAGTTCACTGTGAATTCCAACCTTTATTTTCATTCCCATTTTACTGTTTTCTTTATTCTTTACACTGTGTAATCTGATACTCTGTCTATTCCGTCACAAAATTGGTCTCCAAGTGCATGTTGGATTAGACAGGTTTCACTGTATATACAGGTTTAATTTGTAAGCCGCTGCCCCATAAAGTTTGTAATGTTGTAGAGGGAAAACAGTGAGTTACGCCGATTGTCCCCAGATCGACCCCACAAAGGGAAATTACTTTTGTAAATGTGAAAATCGTCTATTATTTCACTTGAAATGATGCTGAATAAACACATACTAGATGCAGTGGATTTTTTTTTAGTTTTATGAGGCTTATTGTTGTGTAAATCACACAGACTTGTCAAGTAAGCATATTTCTTCAAGTGCTTTAGCTCCAAAAATACAATATATCATATATAATATTTAAATTTTTCTCTGACCTATTATTTTTTTTACATCTCGGTCTCCTCATTGTGACGTCTTTCTAACACAAGTTTGTCCATGTGTATTTCATGCAAGACTATCAGTCTATGCGAAAGTCACTGGACCGTCGGCTTTTACCGGTAAAATTTGGTTCGGGTCGGTAAAAAATTCAGGATACAGGACCGATTGTCCGTTGAAAAATTAAGGCCTAAAAATCTTAATTTACATGTACACATGTTCTTATTGTCCACACATAGCCTTTATTTGATCAATTTAGCAGTAATACATGCTTAATTTTAATTTATAAGAATTCTGTCATGATCGTTTATTTCTAACTCGAATTTCCTCTGTCACGGAATATAGATCCATAGATAGCTCATACGTGATTCGGTTGGGCGAAATTATTATCATTATTAAACAAGAGTAACTGTAATGAGTTACTTCAGGAAAGAAATAAATATATTTTAAAGTGCATTTTAAGTTTTAAAAAAAATCTTTGACAATGTGTATTTCCTTTGTATGTGTCAAATAAACAGAAAAAAGAGAAAATTGTATGGAATTGTATATTACCTTTTAAAAAGGAAAATTATTAATTGTTCATTTCAATAAAATAATTTTTTTATAATCTCAAATCTGGATCTATTTGAGGTTCATTTTAACAGTGAGAATTCCCCCCCCCCCCTCCTTTTTTCAATCTGTGTATCATAATGAAGTATGATTGAATTTAAAGGGGAAAAAAAGGTCGGTCTGGTAAGTAAATGCTTGGTCTGGTAAAATATATATTTTTACCAGACCTTATGTCCTGTAAAAATTTTAGACTTTCGCATAGACTGGACTATGCACAAAAATGGCATTCAAATCTTGTTTCATAGTTTGCTTAGTTAAAAAAAATTGCGAATACATCAAATGTAAATATTACTTTTTGTACTAACCTTTTAGATGTATAGTAATTTTACATTTGCTATATTCTGTAATTTGAAGTGAATTCATTATAATTCCACTTATTTTAGGATGACATATCATCTACTGCAAGTGCCAGCACCATTATGGAGGATGCCTCCACTAGAAGTGACACCCCAACACAGGGAGTAGGTGGAAGGAGAGGGAGGGGCAGAAACAAAAAATGGAGGCCAAAATTACAATTCAAGTGTACAAACTTTGTCAAGGTTTAGTAACCAATGTATTTATTGTATTCTAATCCCAATGTTTCAAACTGCAATTACTACCATAATGTTCAAAGCAAAGGACTGTTCATCATTGTAATGTTAATTAATTTAGCTGATAATGGTAAATGTAACTTCCACTTGACAGAATTTGAAGACATATATGGACATTCATTATTGCTGTATATCTCCTCTTTTAAGGGAGGACATACTGTTATATCATTTTTCTTTATTAGCTCACCTGTGCTGAAAGCTCAAGTGAGCTTTTCTGATCACATTTTGTCTGTACTTTGTCTGTGTGTCTGTCAGTCTGTCCATCTGTAAATTTTTCACTTTTTCGACTCCTTCTCTAGAACCACAGGACCAATTTCAACCAAACTAGCCACAAAGCAGTCTTGGGTGAAGGGGATCCAAATTTGTTCAAATGAAGGTCCATCCCCTCTTTCAAAGGGAGATGATTAAGAATTAGTAAACATTTGGTGGCATCTTTTAAAATCATCTTTTCAAGATACATTGGGCCAAAAAAGTTGAAACTTAAGTGTAACTTTCATTAGGTTTGAATTTGTTCAAATTATGACCCCTATAGGGTTAGGTAGGGGCCACAGTGGGGGATCAAAGTTTTACATAGGAATATATAGGGAAAAAAATTTGAAAAATCTTCTCGATAACAGCAAAGTCATGATTAGTCATATTGATATGGAAGCATTCATAGGTAGTGTAGATTCAAGTTTGTTCAAAGTATGACCCTTGGGGGAAGAGTGGGGCCACAAAAGGTGAACAAGGTTTTACATAGGAATATATAGGAAAAAATCTTTAAAAAAAATCACCTTCTCAAGAGCAACAAAACCATGATTAGTTATTTTATAATGAAAGCATCCTCAGGTTGTGAAGTTTTAAGTTTATTCACAATTTCCTTATTGACCCTAGGGAAATAGTGGGACCACAATGGGGGTCAAAGTTTTTTCATAGGAATATATAGTTAAAAAAAAACTTCTACTGAAGAACAACAAAGCCATGATTAGTCATGTTAATATAGAAGCATTCTCAGGAAGTGTAAATTCAAGTTTGTTTAAATCATTACCCCTGAGAGTAGGATGGGGCCACAATGGGTGATCAAAGTTTTACATAAAAACATAAAAATATATAATAGATGTAAATCTGCTGATGTAGAACAGCAGAGCCATATTGACTCAGGTGAGCATTGTGGCCCATGGGCCTCTTGTTCCTTCTCATTCTTCTAATCTTAATATTGTACAATTCAAAAAACTTTAACAAAATTCACAGGAGGATCATGGTCAGCCAATTTTTGGAATAGATGTCAACAGAAATACCAAGGATGGAGAACCCATTATATTTGCATCTGTAGGCCACAACAGGGTATGTATTGTATGTAACTACAACTATATATAGGCCACAACAGAGTACATACAGTCAAACCTCATTGTTTCAAACTCAGTGGGACCGAGAAAAAAACTTAGCGATGTTCAAGGCTTCAAGATATTGAGGGTAAAATACTTAAAGAATAAGTGGTTGGGACTTCCAATTCACCTTGACATATCCATAGAATTAGAGATATCGGTGTTCAAGATGTATAATGTATATTGGTATCAATATATTGAAAGTACCCAATACATTGGTATTTCATTATATATCGATACACCACATTTTAGGATGTATACTTTTAAAATTGTCTTTAATTATCATGTTTTTTCAATGTTTTTTCTGATCCCTTGTTTTCCTGAATAAAATACTTCTCAAAACTTTAATTCTTATGCAACTGTGAGACTGAGCTATGTACTCTTTGATTGCCTATGTTTTTTTTTTCTTTGCAGGTAACAATTTATGAACTCCAAGAGAATGGGAAAATAAAGCTAGTACAGGCTTATGCAGATCCATGTGTATCCTCTTATGTTACAAAGAAGCAAAACACTTTAATATCCTGCATGTATACAGGAAAATTTTCACCCCAGCTTTATTTTTGCTCTTGTTGCAAGTGGATGAACTTAAAAAGGCAAATTCAAAAAAGACTGCAGAACTCTTTAACACAACTATCTGGGCGAAATCAAAATGGAGCAAAATTGTTTGCAAGTGTGAAAGAGTGAAATAAGAAGGGGTGAAAAAAGCCTGTATACAGTACATCATAATGTATTTTTGACCTAAATAACTTTGATCTGAAATTGTTCTTGGGTTAAAGACTCAAGCATAGGTCTCTTGTCATTTTATTATCAGTCCTTAAATGATAAATACAGACAGATGAGAATTTCTACTGCTGTGCCTGGTCATATGACAATGTTACTGGACAACCATTGGTCGCTGTGGCTGGTCTAAGGGGGATAATCAGGATTTTAAGTCCCATAGCTCTCTGCTGCGTCAAAGTTTGTACATTCTGCTTTTATCCTCTAGTTCTATTTTACATTTACCCCAGTACGTATATAGAACGTGTATAATGTATATCTTTTTAATATAATAAAGTCATATTTTGTCACTGAGAAGTTCAGTAGAGAAAAATGTATTAAAAAATATGAAATAGATATGTTAGGATGTGATTAGAGATGTCCCAAGAGATTTATTCAAACTCCATTTTACTGTAGCTGAATTATGGAACGGTGTAATAGTTCTTGAGTTTGTTAGAATGTTATTCAATTTTTCAGCATTTTGTTGGACATGGTATAGCAGTCAATGAACTTAAATTTCATCCAAGGGACCCAAACATGTTACTCTCAGCATCCAAAGGTCAGTGACCTATAATTACCGGTAGTTTTAATTTCAATTATTTCAGAAATTTTAATATCAAAAGATGTCGTGAAATGTTCACATAGTCACAAAGAATGGACAAGCATTTCTTCATTTATTTGTAGACCACACCATTAGGTTATGGAATGTAAAGACTGACGTTTGTGTGGTGAAATTTGGTGGGGTGGACGGTCACAGGGATGAAGTACTTAGTGCAGTAAGTTCACATTCTTAGTGCAGTGAGTTCACATTCTGAGTGCAGTTAATTCACACTCTTAGCACAGCAAGTCCACACACATAGTGCAGTAAGTTCACATTCTTAGTGCAGTAAGTTCACATTCTTAGTGCAGTAAGTTCACATTCCTAGTGCAGTAAGTTCACATTCCTTGAACAGTTAAGTTCTCATTCTTTGTGCAGCAAGTTCACAGTCTTAGTGTAGCAAGTTCACTCTATTAGTGTAGGAAGTTTACACTCTTAGCGCAGTAGTTCACACTCTCAGTGCAGTAAATTCACATACTTAGTGTAGTAAGTTCACACTCATAGTACAGTAAGTCTACACTTGTAGTAGGTTCACCACTGAAATGAATAAGGAAAATTTTTTTCAGTTGTCATATCCTGTCTTTTTTCCCTAAAACTTTCTGCCAAATAAAGAATTTTTAAATAGTAAATTCTGGTAATTTGACCCCCCCATTAAGTTAATACAGTATCTGTAGGACTCTATTCATTTTTATTCCAAATGGAAAAACTTTAAAGTAGTGTAACAACTGTTGATAATTTGTGAGAAGATCATTGTGAAAATAAATCTGATTATAAAATGAGCTTTGAATAAGTGGATTTGTTTTCAGTGTATCATTTGTAAGGGGGGTACTTGTTGTTTGTAGGATTTCAATATAACTGGGAGTATGATCACTACCTGTGGTATGGACCACTCCCTGAAGATCTGGAAGACTGACACAGAGTCCATACAAACTGCCATGAAAGACTCATACACATACAATCCAGCAAAGACTAACAGGTTCACAATACTTAACCTAGTCATAATATTTATAATATATTAAATAGCATTTATTTGCTGTGAGCAGAAAAATGTGCTTTTTCAGAAATTGCTCCACATTGCAGTGCCTAATTACTTATAGATATTACATTGAAGAAATATGATGGTAATCTTTAGATATCTTCAATTGATTCTGGTGTTTAATTTTCCTACAGACCCTTTCCTACAGTAGCTCAGCATTTCCCAGACTTCTCCACTAGAGACATCCACAGAAATTATGTAGACTGTGTACGATGGTTCGGTAATTTTATACTCTCAAAGGTAAATCTCAATCTTGAGATGTTCTCAAAGGTAAATCTCAATCTTGAGATGTTCTCAAAGGTAAATCTCAATCTTGAGATGTTCTCAAAGGTAAATCTCAATCTTGAGATGTTCTCAAAGGTAAATCTCAATCTTGAGATGTTCTCAAAGGTAAATCTCAATCTTGAGATGTTCTCAAAGGTAAATCTCAATCTTGAGGTGTTCTCAAAGGTAAATCTCAATCTTGAGGTGTTCTCAAAGGTAAATCTCAATCTTGAGGTGTTCTCAAAGGTAAATCTCAATCTTGAGGTAAGGTAACATCTCTGTCTTAAAGTGTCATTTTCAACAAAAAGAAAGATTTTAATTGATGTGATTTTAGTCCATTTTTGTGCATGCAAAGCATTGTTTAATGAAAAGGACACATGCAGTGTTACAGTCAGTATTTTGGCATGGTATAGCAACAAAAAAAAAAAAATATATATATATAAATAAATAAAAATTGATTGGAAGTTGTACCTAATTAAAAACATTTACAAACCTAAAATATGGCAATATTGCTGCTTTTTTTATTGCATATTTCATTATTTAATGAATTCTTATCAATGATAAGAGGCAGAACTTTATTTAATAAATATATGGAGGGAAAAGAAAGTTAGGTCTGAATTAACTCTAGTCTTTTAAATATTGTTTCATGTCTTGGAATGTCGAAACCTAATTGATTTATCAACTATGTACATACATGTGTGAAATTTGTATTATTTGAAGTTTAATTTCATTTCTTCCTTGTAGTCTTGTGAGAACTGTATCATTTGTTGGAAGCCTGGCCCCCTGTCAGAGCCTAACTATCCCCTGAAGCTGAGTGACAGTACGGTTTCTATCCTCCATCGCTTCGACTATAAGGACTGCGACATCTGGTACATGAGGTTTGGCCTGGATTTCTGGCAGAAGGTGAGTGTTGGCATTGCATCATTAACAGAAATTAAGGACTTTAATATCTTTGATCTTTGCTAATTTTTTTTCATACCTTTGCAAAAAATTCTCAGCTTTTAAATCAATCATTGCTATTCCTTTCATTATTCACCATTACCTTTCATTATTCATCCGTTACATGTATGTTAAACATTAATTTTTGCCCAAAAGCAGAAATGTAATGATTATTTATGTTAAGTTGGGTAGGTGGGGGGATGTGAAAAAAACAGACTTATGTTCCTTCACCAAATAACATGTCCATGTTTATTTAGTTTATATTGTTTTAATTTATTTCACACAATTATGAAAAATTATTTGTAAAATAATGAAAATTGCATCAAAATAACACTTTTTCATGGTTTTTTTTTTTCAATTACAAAATATGGAGGGCAGGTTTTCATGTCAAATTGATACCTAGTGCTCATATTCATTGAACAACATGGTAACCTAACAACAAAACTTTATGTTAAACGTGATGACTTCAACTTTTTTATCATCAACTTCCCGTATTTATGTAGCAATATACCCTTATCACCAGCATATGGAGTTTATGTCTCCCAGTTGATTCGATACGCAAGAACATGCTCTATGTACAAACAATATTTATAATGAGGCAAGCTATTGACAAACAAGTTGGTGAAACAAGGATATCAACAGTCTCGTTTGAAGTCAAAATTTTGCAAGTTCACCTGATCCCACCTCTGATGTTTATAGAGGTCTGTGTTTGCTCTGCTACCGATTTGTATTGTTTCAATGGACTTTTAAGCTTGATTACTGTTCGTTATCTCCATATTCATGCAACTCATATCATGCAGATCTATTGGTTGACATACATGTACATACTTTCCAAGTCCAAAATTAGTTTAATAACTTCCTTTACATGTATCTTCCCATCAATTTAGGCTAATTTGTGATATCATAGAAAAATTTCTGGCTGATTTTAAAATTCTTTGAAATAAGTGATTAGAAAAGACATCTTTTGAGAAACTTTTCCAACCAAAAAGGTACATGTATTTTACTCTGCTGCTCTTTGTGTTAAAATTTTCACAGTTCTGCCCTTCTTTGAAATCAGTGAAAGTGCTATGGAAGTAAACCTGAGCATAACAAGCATTTCATACAAAGATAAAATATGTCAAAATGACATGGCTATATAAATTATATGACTTTAGTAATTTAGATAAGAGCAGTTATGAGTACTTGTACACATTGGATTTATGCATTTTATTATTAACTACAACTAATGAAACTGTATATGAATTCAGTTCTAAGATCCAATGTACTTAGAGAAAGGTAGAATAAATGAGTTTCCAGGAAAACTTTGTTCCTATACTTGAAAACAAACTTTGTTTTTCAAAAGCTCAGAGGTTTGATTTTATATTAAGATACAAACTAGATTATATCCACTGTGTTCTATTTCCACTTCCCCTCTCTGCTGTTTTAGCGGATATCGTGTAATATCCAGAATGTATTGTAGGGGGTTCAGGGGGGACATCAGGAGCTATATATTCCCTTCTGCTTTCTTCCCACCTCTCTTGACCTGCCCATGGCCTGTAAGCTGGATCATTAAAAGCCCTCACATCATAAGAACTTCCCTCAGTTCTTGGATCTCGACTGATATAACAGGGCTCCCTAGGGGGGCGTGGCTTAGGAAGGGTGGTAATTCTGTTCAGCATATCTGGCATGCTCTGGCTGTATCTTGGTCGAGGACGACGAATAATATCCACGTTCTGGGCAGTATAATAGGGGTTCCTCTGTCTCTCTCTGTATCCATAATATTGTGACCTTCTTGAAGGTGGATAAAGGTCTGCTTGGCTTTTACTACGGTCGTACAGATAGGGATTGTATATGGGGCGTGATGGAGTCGGTCTATAGTAATCACGTCTATCCACATATCGATTTTCTCTCATCCTGGGTAACGTTCTTACATCACGTTGAATCCCAGGGTATCTGATCATATCTCTTGTGATCCTGTTTTCTACTGTGTTCTTTTTATGCCTCTTTTTCTTGGAGTCCTCTTTGACTTTCATTTTCTGAGAAAGCTCAGGTTCCTTCTTTCTTCGATGTTCTGCTTTAAGGAGTTTCTCCACTTCACTGGCATCTGCATTCTTTAGAATTTCAATGGGAATGCCTCTCCTTCTCTTTTCCTCTTTCAAAGGAACACTTCCATTCATGATGGGTTTGTACATTTTCTCTGTTTTCTGTGTTTTATTTTTGCAGCAGTAGTAGTAAATGAGAGCTGCAATGACACCAATCACCATGATACCACCTGCTATAGAGGAAAACACTGTTACATAAAACAGGGTCTCATCACATTCAAAGTCACTCATTTCATAACTTCTCACATCCACTCCTAGTCTGTGGATCGGGGACTTACATACATAGCTGCTGTTAGAATGGTGGATAATTCTGACTTTTGTCATTAACATCCACTCTTGGAAATCAACAAGTTCACATCCACATAAAAAATTGCTGTTGGAAAAATCCACTTCTTGTAGTTTCTTCAGCACAGATAAGGTGGAAGAGTGGAGTACATGGATAGGGTTATCACTCATGCTGATCTTTTCTAAGTTTGGACAGGAGTTGAACGTTCCCTCAGTCAAATATCTGAATTTATTGTGGCTTAGATCAATGCTTTTGATCTGATATAATGACTGCATTGTGTTGTAAAGCTCAATATCATTAGATATGTGGTTGTGTTGTAATTGGAGAACTACCAGGTCACTCAAAAAGACAAATACAGCAGGTTTCAGTTGACTAAGATTATTTTGACTCAAATCTAACTCTTTCAAATCATACATGGCATAAAATGATTGGTCATCCATTTCACTGATCTTGTTACCATGGAGATCTATAGATTTGGCAGTCTTCCAGCCAGCATTCCTCAACCTCACAAGTTTGTTATTGGACAAATCAATCACATCTGGTGACTTGGGACGGAATGTTTGATGGTACACCATAGATATCTTATTGGAGCTGAAGTTTGTGTGGACTAGCTTCCTGGAGTCCAGAAACAGGAATTCTGGGAGCTGAACCAGGCTGTTCTGACTGATGTCAAACCTCTGAAGGTTGTGAAGTCCAGTCATGGTGGAGATGTTGTTGATCCTGTTTCCAGAGAGTAACAGGTCTTCTAGGTCTTTTAGTGTGCTGGGTGCCTGGTAACGTGTCATTTCATTGAAGCTAAGTTCTAGTAATTTCAGGGACTCGCATTTTGTTACAACTACAGAGTTGTCTCCAAGACGATTATGAGATAATCTCAGGGTTTGGAGGTTTGTCAGAGATTGTTTGAAAGTTTCATCTATCTGAAAGGAAACAAATTTCTGAATGATATAATCGAACAGCTTTACCGTCTCAAATTCAACCAATTAAATTGTACCCAGAATACTGAGAAAAGTTTCATGGACATTTAGAAACATATAATGTTTTGATTTCATTGTTGTTTTTATAACATGAATTGAAATAAACGTATTAGCCAGGGCTTAATTGACCCTTTTTGGTAAAGACCTGTACCCTTTCAATTAGGAATTTCAAATAAAAAAATTGGCAAAATTTGGAAATATCAGTGTTTTACTGTTGATTAAAGAGTTAAATTGAAGGCTTATTCCCTATTCACATCTTTGTGAATTGTTAAAATCCAAAAATTCAATTTTTTAGAATGTAAAATCCACTGAAAAATTCAATCTCTTTATCATTTGGGAATTTTTACCATAATTTTGGGGGGAAAATTGTTGATTTTCAATTAGGACAGGGTCCTTTTGCCAGACCTGGATGCAAGGGTTATTAAGCCTTGTTAGCTGTCTTTTATGCAAGAATATTCCAGATTTAGAATGCTTCATGCTTTGTAAAAAAATGCAATCAATTTTTAAGGTATAACAATACTGTATGTGTACATAAATTGGTGTATTCAAAATTTAGCGCAATCACTGGGTATGAAGTTGTTGGCGAAATCATGAATTATACATGTCCATGCTGTATATTGTATTTATAAATGATTTCTTAGCGGTATTCATGAATTAGCTCATCGTTGTCTGCGCCAAAGCCGCTAAAATATGAAGCCCGCTTTTTTAAGTACACATACAGTAAATGAATTGATAGAAGTGATAGACCTACCTCTGTGATTTTATTATGTGAGGCATCCAGATGAAGGAGTCCACCGATTTCGGTCACAGCATTAGAAAGTTTGTCTAGTTGATTATAGCTGACATCCAGAACCGTGAGACGACGGAGATAATCCCTCAGACTTAGGGGGATTTCCTGGAGGTTGTTCCTGGCTATTTTTAGTTCAGACACAGAGGTTTTACTCAACATTGGAATAAGATCAGTCACTTCTGTCAGGTTCATATCAGAGATATCCAGATGTTTGAGTTGTTCAAAATGAGAGGAGTTGAACATGTCTGTGAGATTTTCCACACCTATCCCAGAATTCCCTGCCAGTGACAGAAGCTCCATTCTCACTGGGTAGGCAAAAGTATCAGGTTCTATAACTGATATTGCACACTTAGACAAATTGACATGTTTAGGAACTTGATCAGACCATCCTTTGGTATATTCAAATGTATCCTTCCCAATGACAGTAAAGTTATTTCCTGAGAGGTCAAGGACATTTAGAGAGGTCATGACCTGAAATCTGAGTCCTAGTTTAGGGTTCTGTAATTGGTTAAAACTCATGTTGAAAACTCGAAGGTTACTAAGGTATCTGAATGGAATGTCTGGCAAAATAAAGAAGTCGTTGTGACTGAGATCTAAAACTTCTAGAGATGTCAAATGTTGAAAAATGTGGTTGTCAAGGCGCACTAGGTGATTCATGCTGAGGTCAAGGTATGTTAACCTCCGCAGGAACTTGAATATATTTTTATCCAGTGCATGAAGTCTGTTATTTGATAAATAAAGCTCTTCTAAATCCATGTATGGAGAAAAAGAAGTTTGTAGCTGAGGTCCTAGATAACTGTCAGTTATGTTGAGTTTTGTAATTTTGGGTTGAAATGTAAAGGCACTGAAGGTTAAGATACGAGTACAGCACACAGTGGAATTGTCACAAACACACCCCTGCATACACCCCCAGGAGGGAGGAATGGTCCAGATTACCAGAATACTAATACACATAATGATCCTCATGTCTTCACAAAAGGCCATTGTAGTTCATAAAACTTCTGTAAGTTGCTAGACACAGATATAACTAAGTTTCTCCTCTCATATACGAAAAGAAATGAAAAAGGAGAGGCTTATCATGAAGAAATGATTAGTGGTCTAGCCTTGTGTCTCCATGCTTTAGCTGTCTCCCTTTATAACACATGCAGTTCACTGATATCAACATCTAATTTTCTTCTCAACTGAGTGAAGGATTCGTGAAAACAAATTGTCCTTCACATGGTGAAAGTGGAGAGTATCACTACAAAACTATCCCAAAATAAAACCTGTACTGATTATGACAGAGTTTCCACCCTAATTCTAATTAGAATCTCTCAGATTACACTAATCATTGTATATCTAATGAGCGTTAACCTGTTCAGAACACTGTGTCTTTGCATATCTTAAATGTGGTCAATTTATTCTCCAGTCTTCAGTTACACATGCACTTTTAATAAAGTTATCACTACAGAGTATTGCTGACATGAAATATGAATTATTTTCTTGATAAAATAAATTTTCTTGTCAGAACTACATGGTTTAGCAAAAATTAGATGGACCATTTTCAAGCTTAATTATATATTTTGAATTCCCAAATTATAATTTTTTTTATCATTTTATGATTTATCAATATACATCCCCATCCTCTTTTTGAACAAATTACCATTTTATAAATTCTTTGCAGGTGTATTGTATTATATACAGGTATTTTCATCCAATTTAGTTTGAGCCAGTTAAATAAGCATGATTAGTTTCCACATTTGGAGTATTATTTTTATACCCCTGCTTGAAAAACGGGGATGTATTGTGATGAGGGTGTCAGTCGATCTGTTTGTTGGCCTGTCTGTACATCCGTCTGTTACGCTTTGGGGTACCCATCTCTTATCCACAACTCCTCTTATACCTGGAGTAAATAAAATTTAATGAGACTTTCACAGAATCTTTGTTACATAGTGACATTTTGCATCTCCTATTTTACTTTTTGATCGGACACATATTTCAGGTTTCCAATAGCACAACATTGAACACTGTCATTCTTTCTATAATATTGAGGGGTACCCATCTCTTATCCGCTACTCCTTACCACAGAATAAAATTGAATGATACTTTCACAGAATCTTTTTTGCCATTGTGCACCTCCTATAATTTTACTTTTTGATCAGGCACTTATTTCAGGTCTCCCATAGCAGAACATAAACTTTGCCATTATAAACATATTGCAGGTGGGGGGTATCATTTTGTGAGCTCAGTGCTAACAGTACCTCTAGTTTTATTCCTATATTATAAAGGTTCAGTTGGACTTTTTGAAATTGATTGTAACCATAATAAGTATTGTATGTATATGTATATGTACATTCCTGATGTCCCCCCCCCCTTCACCTTTTCAAATCTGCCACCAGGATGATATACATTATTTTATTGACAGGTGCTAGCACTAGGAAATCAGATTGGCAAGGTGTATGTATGGGATCTTGATCTTGAGGACCCAACTCAGTCAAAGTAAGTCATAATGTGACCAAAGTCAGTCAACTGTGACCAAAGTCAGGCAAAGTAAGTCATAATGTGACCAAAGTCAGTCAACTGTGACCAAAGTCAGTCAAAGTAAGTCATAATGTGACCAAAGTCAATCAAATGTGACCAAAGTAAGTCAAATGTGACCAAAGTCAGTCAAAGTAAGTCATATGTGACCAAAGTCAACCAACTGTGACCAAAGTCAGTCAAAGTAAGTCATATGTGACCAAAGTCAATCAACTGTGACAAAAGTCAGTCAAAGTAAGTCATATGTGACCAAAGTCAATCAAATGTGACCAAAGTCAGTCAAATGTGACCAAAGTCAATCAAAGTATGTCAGTGTGACCAAAGTCAGTCAAGTAATTCAAAAGTGACTAAACTCAATCAAAAAGTCAAATGTCGTCAAACTCATTCTATTATCATTCAGACATATTAGCTATAAATGTCAATTGAAAGCATTTTACATTTAAATACTTTCCTTTATATTGTCTTTCACCCAGTCATCGGATCTTAGATATATATTGCTGTGTAACGTGTTCAGCACAAAAATTTGGCCAGAATTTTACTCAACAGTGTGGCTTTTATTGATAAAATGTTGGCAAATGTAAATGGTTACTGATAATTTCAGTGTAAACAAAGCAAAAATATCAACTTTCTTCTTTCAGACCCATCATTTTAACACATCCCAAATGTTACACCCCAATACGCCAGATTTCCTTCACCAGAGATGGCAGTACAATGCTAGCTGTGTCTGATAATGCCACGATCTGGAGGTGGGACCGAGTGAAGTGAACCATGACTGCTGTCTCTAGATTCAGTGACCCATGACAAAGGCTAGGGGATATTATAACTGGAACATGTTTGCAGCTATGGGAGGATGTGGTTGGACAGGGAGGCTGAGGATACAAAGCTTTATGGCAATGGACATTATGTAAAGGAAGAACTGTGTGTAATTTGAAGAAATTAAAGGAAAAATTGTATAGAAAAATAATGTTGCATTCTTTTTTTGGGGGTGGGGGGGGGGGGGGGGAGGTGGAAGGGATGGGGTTATGTCAATGGTTGGTTGATTCTGTCTTTGGTATCAGGTTGTGCATTTACAGAGTTGGAATTGAAAGAAAGGTGTTGCCATCCATATTTCTCATGTACTGTGTGTGAAATCATATTTTCGTGGGGTCAAATTTTCGAGGTTTGAAGAAAAATTATTGGTTTGGGGGGATTTAATTTCATGGTTGGGATGTGTTGAGTAGTTATGAATATGAAATTTTACATTTCGTAGTGGATATAAATTTGTGGGTGTCTTCATACCTAGAAAACATGGAAAATCAAACCCCCACGAAAATTAGTGATCTTTGTGAACAGTTTAATTAATGAGTACAAATTTTTCATGAAACAGCCATGTTGACAATGATTTCTGTGCAAAAAACCATTAATTGTGTCTAAAAAGAAAAAAAAAAACTTGTACAGAACAGGAACTAAACTGCATATCATCTAAAAATCTGTAGTAGGGTTTTTATTTGCTGAATATGTAACAGGAAAGGAGAAAATGTATGACTGGACCACTACTCGTGTGCTCTAACAACTAAGCTACCCAGGCCGATATCCATGACCCAAACTGTAACTAATACTTTTCTAGCCCAAATTTTCTTTTTGTGTTCGGACCTATAACATACAGAGACAACTAGAGTATAAGTACTATAGACAAATTTTTGAAAAGCTCAAAATGATGTATTAATAAATAATTTTATAAATATTTGAGTAGCTGCAGGTCTTGTAGGTCACTGATCTGAAAAATGGGGATGCATGGTCCTCCATGGCAATTTTTCCTGAAAATAAACGAGGAAGATTTAAGGTAATTTCTTAATTTCTAATGATAGATGAAAAAAAAAATGGAAGCGTCCCTGGGTGGGCTCGAACCACCAACCTTTCGGTTAACAGCCGAACGCGCTAACCGATTGCGCCACAGAGACCTCGATATATGACTGGAAAAAAATAAGGTATTTAAAATTTTACTGTCATTTTGTAGCTTGATTACCGCTTCCGGTTTTCTGCAGTTGCTGATTGTGCAAGATGGTTACTTCGTGCACACGTGAATTTGGATGTGAAATGGTGAAATAATAACACCCTGTAGTATTTTGGTGCTGAATAAAAGATTACAACAAAACCATAAACACGGTAAGACAGCGACTGGAGTATAGTATAGAGAAACGACACGGACAGTCGATTGTCAATCGGGTTGAGATTTGCGAATTAGGTTATAACTAGAAACAAAAGTGAAAGCACAGAGAGATGCAGGATAAATATCACTGTACAAACCAGTAGTGTTTGAATGTTCTTTTATAACACGTTATTTTTAAAATGGAGTTCCCCGTGCTTCCAAATTCATTCATCGATTTCCAGTTTACAAATTTAAAAGTTTCTTTTTAAAAATGACAGTTATAACATATTTTGTGTCAGTTCTTCAGATAAATAATGATGAATAACGTAAATATAAGATATGAATTTAATTTCTGAAAATTCGTGTGGTACATGAACTACAGTGCTTCACATCTGCATATTTTTCATGAAGCGCTAACCAGATTCATTAATTGTGCAGACTTGATGCCTTTTTGTTTGTGTCCTCATGGATTTTCAAAAATTAAATATATTTCTTAAATGTACAGACTGTGGACAAAAGTATCAGAACAATTAACTATATCATTATGTTTGTAGAAAATACTGATGTATGTTTTAATACTAAAAATAGCCACATTTCATAAAGACATCTAAAGTAAGTTGCAACCATTTCATAGAAGAGACGATTTTGCGTCTGCCAAAAAATAAAACTTACTAAAACATATTCATCAAAACAAATACCTTACTATTTCGTAATGTAGCCTTTTGAACGAAGTACTATAGCAATTCTCTTGCGGAGGGATAATGGTACAATTTTTTAATCTTTTCATCGAAACTGGTCCAACTTGAACAAATTTTTACCTTTTTATGTTTTCTTTTAAGTTGCAAATGACAAAAACAATATTGATAATGAAACAGGAAGTCATCATCATTAAAATACCTTAGGTGTAGTCTCAAATCTACTACAAGAATGCCTGCTGTAAATAATTAAACATCTGGTTTCTTGTATAATGCAATGTAAATTTTTCCAATACTTTTGTCTACTGTTTGTAGTTGTGTGTAAATTGAATATTTAGCATTTGTTTCAATTCAAAATAAGGCTTAATTTTATTGAATATAAATTTTACAGTCAATTAACCAGATAGAAATGACTACATTACCACGACTGACAGGAGCTTTACGAGCATTTGCCAATGTTAGTAAAGACACAGGAATATCACTTGCTGATGAGCACCAAGAGTTAGTTCGTAAACGGCAGCTTGTGGCAAAGAAACGGACGGACACTGTCAGCTGGCAGCGACTGACTGAGGTTATAAACAAGGAAGCTGACGTGTCAAAACAGGAAGTGAAAGCAGCGCTCAAAGAACTGACTCAATACGCCAAATCAATAGGTGTGATATATTTTGATTGATTATAGTGCTGAAAACATGAAGTGTATTTTAAAAGAGGGCTAAAAACTTGAAACAGGCTGTGTAAAGAATGTACCTATGTCATATCGTCTTTGAATGCTTATTGTAGTGTGTAATTTATTTTTAACAAGAAATAAATGTATAAATTGAAGTGTTATAAGATATCAAAGAAAATGCCCAGAAGGATTGATTTTTTTTGCCAAATGTTACATGTTATAGGAAGTGATCTTATGAATCATCTTCCTTTTTTCAGTGGGATCAGAGGCAGATTTAGAGACAATAGAGGGCTCAGCAGCCTTCCTGTTTGAACTTCTGAAGTCGGTTAATATTGTCGGAAAAAAAGAGAGCACGAAACTTCGGCAGATCTTCGGACCATTTCCAGCCTCAGCAGCCAGCAATGCATGTTCATTGATCAACAAAATTGTGTCATGGTTACCAGAAAACACATTGGATTCCCTTGGTAACCAGGACAGACAGGAAGCTGATGGAGAAGCAAGTGTCAAGGAGTTTGGGATGAACATTAAATTTGTAGGTCAAAGTCGAGATTCTTATTTTGAAGATGAGGACTTTAGTTCTGACTCTGACGAAGGTGAGAGGAGAGAACTGGACCTGAAATATGTAGCTTCTCCCCATAAACCAATCGCAGCCAAAAGAGAATCACCTGACAAGGAGAGGTAACTCTAACGTTAATATGTTAGATTTTACAATATCATATTTTATGGTTTTAGCTTAATGTAATTAAAAAAAGTGTCACACTTTCAAAGAAAAATTACATATTGGAATATATTGTGTTAAAATCAAAATGTGTGAAGTATTAGAGACTTCACTTTATGTAAAGTACATTAAAACATTGTTATAAGCCATGGGTTGATTTGCTACCATCTCTGTAAATGTGAAATTTGGAGCAGAACATATCCTGTGCTTCTGTCAATGTAGAAAGGGGGAACAATTGTGTCAAACTTGCATTTTAAATTTTCAGAGTTGAAACTTGTAAGCACATTGAAGTTATAATATTCCAAGTGAAAAATAGAAGTATATATTGTAATTTTTAATTTCCCAGGAAGTTAATTTACATATAACATAAAATGTGTTTTAGGTATGATGCCTCTTGGCTACAAAGGGAAGTAACCCAGTATTTTCCTGGTGAGGAGAATTATCTGGGTATGAGTAGAGAAGACCTATGTTCCACCATATTTGATGTTCTGACAGCATCCAACTCGGATGAGGAACTTCAAAATAATGTAAGCATATTGGAGTATATTCTAAGTGAAACAAGCTAACTCAGAGAATTTATGTCCTCCTCCTAAGAAAAATAGAAGAGGGTGGAAGACCTACAAAAATGCAGATGGAGAAAGGAAAAAAAAAGATTTACCTTGATCTTTTAGCTTTTGGCCTTAAAGTTAATAGGGGTCTTTCTTAAGTTAAATCACGACCTTAAGTTTCTTTGCAAAAGCTTACAGAGATTTACATTTATCATCTGAAATATATGTATGCAGTATATGAATTTCTGACCTTGGATCATTGACCTTTTGACCTCAAAACCTATAAGGATCTTCTTTAAGTCACAGGGAGTCAGGATATAACATTTCATTGAAAAAGCTCAAAGAGCTTGTATGCAATTTTATGTATTTTATGCAAGATATGAATTTCTGACCTTTACTTTTAAATCTCAACATCAATAGAGGTCTCCTTTGTGTCATTGGGGTTTATGATACAAAATTTCATTAAAAATTTATCAAGAGAAAGAGAACTAAAGTTATCATGTGGAAACCAGTTTTTGCAATGTTTGAATTTTGGATGTGACCTTTGACCTTTTAATATCAAAATCAGTAGAGGTCCTTCTTAAGTCACAGGGAATTAGGACATAAAAATATCAGTGAAAAGCATCAGTGAGGACTAAAGTTGTCATCAGGAAACTGTTTTTTGCAATTTATGAATCGCTGACCTTGAGTTTGAGCTTTGACCTCAAATTCTATAGGTGTCTTTTTCAAACCATTAGGAGTTAAGACATAAAATCTCATTGAAAAATCTCAAAGAGAACTATAGTTATAGTCTGGAAACCATTTTTGCAATATATGAATTTCTGACCTTGACCTTTCTGACCTTTTGATTATAATCAGTGACAGTCTTTTTTTAAGCAATAAGAGGTTGGGATATAAAATTTCATTGCAAAAGCTCAAAGTCTTTTTGAGATATTGCCTGGAAACGAAAGTGTTATATACAGACAGAATAATGGACGAATGGACAGATATACCCAAATTAATATCCTCCACTTTCATTAAAAAGTGTTAGTAAATGTTACTTTTCCTATGCATATGAAATTTTTAATAGCAGTGTTAAGAGAAATAATTTTTCACTGAGTATTATTTTTTGCAGCTCTTTGAGCTTCTGGGCTTTGACAGATTTGAACTCATCCAAAGTTTGATTCAAAACAAAGGAAAAATTATTGAGGGAGCTTTAACTCGACCGGAGAGCAGTAAACAAACAAGTATGTATAAAAAGTTTTTCTCAACAACTAAACAGTAAATGTAACCAAAATTAAAATATCCTGATACATTTCTATGTAAGTGACTGTGTGATAATTTATTGTAATGGTTTGGGCTGTGGATATTGACCTGGGTAACTAGACAATGATTTCTTTTTTACCCATTAGGAATGGATCCGGTACTGATTTAACTGGGAAAAATAGGGTCGAAATAGAATGAGAATTTTCTTTCGTGTCAACAAATGAAATTTATTTCGTATTTATTCAAACCTCATTACCTATTAATTCACACTTTAAAGAATAATCAACAAATATTCATTGTTTTACACATTAATGTCCCATGTTCTCATGTTGTCATGCTTTCAAGTTTTCAAAAAGTAAGACACTAGCATGACTATGCTGTTAACAACACAGGTCCCACCATATTACCACTAATCTCTACTTTTGATTTATAGGAGCACATTTAATCAACTCATATGAAAAGAATTATGATGTCATTGTAATCTATTCCTCGGCAGTTGAATTTGGAATTTTTAGTCTCAAAATTAAGAAAAATGAATGTTTTTTGGCATTTAGAATGGTACTGTTCACCGGTACCAGTTACTGTAAACCGACTTTTATTTGTGTGCGAGAAATATTCGCGAGTTTCACAACATACTTTAATTCACGATTTGATATTGCCGTGAATCATTTATTTTGCTTTGTATTTGTAGAGATTGTTTCGTAAGTCGCGATAATTAATCTCTGCAGATTGATTTCAAACTGACGAATCACGAATCATGAATAAAAGTTGACACAAATTATGGTTGGTTTACAGTATTTAAGAAAAAAATTGCTGGTTGAGCACTTGACTTGTAATGCAGGGGGCCTGGGTTTGATGCCCAGTCCAGCCATACATTTTCTCCTTCCCTATTACAAATCTATCTTCAAAAAAAAATTAGCTTAAAGCCATACTTTAGACTGGCAAAATGTAAAAAGTTACTGGAAGAAACCTGGTTTTGAGAATAGGGAAGAGAATTAGGGATTGGGGATTGAGAAAGTTGCACTAAGAGGTGCTTAGCTTTGGAGGCTTTTAGAGCTGTACTTTATTTTTGCTGCCTTTTCATGGTTTTGAGTTTGGATTAACTAAAGTAAGTATACTTTCTTAACTTGTGACACTTATCTAAAATATATGATATTGATTTTCACTTTAGGGGCCAAAGCTGATGGAGGAAACAGGCCCCCAGTTACCCGACCCACGTATGGGTGTCAAGTTACTGTGCAGGTAAGTAATAGGTCCTGGATTACTGAACAAACCAATGGCTGTTAAATGTAGTTACTAACGAAGAAAATGAACAGTAAGGCCCTCTGTTATGTAAATTATTGTGGAGGTAAGGATTGTTCTATTATAACCATTAGGAACTAGATCCTTCTGTTATTATGCAAAAGCATGTTATTAAATACTTTGAATATCATTAGATCTACATGCAAGTTGACACATTGCAGATAAAGGATAAATTCAGTTAATGAAGCTATACAAAAATCAGCAAATCCTTATGATAAAGCCAGCCAAACATGTAGTTATATATGATAGAGGATAAGGTTTCCAGTGGAAACTGAAGAAAGGTACCTAGGCTATGGTTAAAGCTACATAAAAGTTTTACTATTTATAGACAGAGGATGAGAGACAGATGATGAAGATGATGAGGAAAGAGGAGAAGAAGGAGAGGAGGAGAGATGAGGAAGAGGAGGATGTAGGCTTTCTCTTTAATCCTCAGCATCTCAGGGCTCAAAGGTTTGTACACATGTCTTGTTTAGTTTAGTTTACCATTCAATTTTTTATAAATGATAAAATAAAGGTAGTAACTGTAGGCACTGTGACATTTACATAATTCTAAAGTTTGTCTATATTTGGAATTTTTATTTCTGAGGAAATCATTAATTCAGTAATTGATGAAACAAGTGCACTGAGATGTAAATTTCTAACACGTTATATGTGAGGAGGCACCTGCTTACTTAAGCATCTGTTGAGAGATCTTGAATATTAAGTACCAGCCGTATCTTATTCCAGAGAAGCGGCATTAAAGGCACCTGCTCCAATGTTCAGTGGGGGGAGGGGAAACTATACACCCAGGGAGAAGTTCCCCTTTGTGTTTGACTCCATGGAAGAAGCCAGACAGTCCTCAGCTTTCATTGGAGGAGTCAAGGTAACCTAGACTTATCCTCCTTTAGTACTTATAATTATACAGTAAAACACACTTATAGCAAAGTGCCAGGGACGTGCAATTTTGATTCATTACAAACGTAATTCATTATATCTGTTAAGATAACAATACATTTAAACCAGGGATTGAAAATCACTTCGCTGTAAGCATGAATTCATTATACATGTAAGCGTGTTTGCTATAACTGTGTTTTAGTGCATTTGGTATATTCAGTGTAATATTGTAATAATGCAGTATCTTATTTTTGTTTGATGTCTTGATTTCTGATACATGCTTATAATTAATCCACGTTAACAGCGACATGATTTTCATTCACTTCGTTTTGTGACTTATAATGAACTAATTGGATATAACAAGTTCTGCTTTTATGAATCTAAATTGTTCATCCCTGACAGTTAACTACAAGCTTGTTTTACTGCTGTACTCCTTCTGTGACATTGACTAGTAAACCAACTTTTATCAACATGTGAAAAATTTCTGCGAGTTTCGTGACCTCTTACTCGCGAATATTTCTCGCTGCAAAGTATTTATTTCATTATGTATTTATGTAGGATAATTCCTCAGTCTTGAAAATTAGTCATTGTGGATAGATTTCAAACAGACAAATCGTGAATAAAAGTTGCTGCGAATGATAGTTGGTTTACAGTAAATAAAGTTCTTGGGTCAGAGTTTGTTTGAGTAATTTTGTGTTTTATTGGATATTTCACTGATACATTTTTTTTCTCTGATTTCAGATGGTGCTACCAGACACATTCACCAGGAAAAGCACAAAGTTAGCAGAGGAGGTGAGGATCCCCCACACAGAGGCCCAGGCCACGAATGTGGGAAACCAGAGAGTCCAGATTGCTGACTTAGATGATGTAAGTCATGCATGTATTACTAGCCATTTTACTAAATAAATAAATTTCATGTAATTTGATATTTTATCCTTATACTTGTAGTCTTTCAAATTATAACTTGCAAGAATGATAACAGTAATTCTGCTGAATATATGGCAAAAAGACTACTTGTCTAGCAATAAGAAATGGAAAACTCACTGAAAAATAAATAAAAAAATATTTAAATCACATTGACATACATGCACCAGTTTTATATATAAACCATCTGTGTTTCAGGTTGCTAAGCTAGCGTTCAAGAACACTAAAGCCTTGAATCGTATCCAGTCAGTTGTATTTGATGCTGCATACAAGACTAACGAAAATTTGTTGATTTGTGCTCCCACTGGTGCTGGGAAGACAAATATTGCCATGTTAACAATCCTTCATGAGATGAAACAACACATCTCACAGGGGGTCATTAAAAAGGATGAGTTCAAGGTCAGTCTCATTTGCAATGTTAAAAAAATTAAGCCAGGCTAATAGTAGGAATATTACCATGAAATAGATTTGTACTTGACATAAATTAAGTTTCTCTTCACAATGACAGAAGTTGACTGTCATACCAAATTTCGAATGAATAATATAAGTTAAAATAGTTGCAGTGATTCATTTTGGTGTGCGTCCTGCGTAAATTACGCACAAATTTTGCTAAGGACGCATTATTTCAATAAATGTGCATCCCACTGGACGCAATAAATTTATAGAAGGACATGTACTATTTTAAATTATTTCGGTATAATCTGATTCAAAACTTGACCGATTGCATCATATCCACATGCTAAATGATACGCATGAACGATTTTAACAGGTATAAGGTTGCCAACAACAGGTCAGATTTCACAACTGCAGTTAAAAGCAATTATCAGAAAATATTTGAAAGTTAGATGGCATAGTTCGATTATCACTGATTAAGTCTATTACCGTGGAACGTTTCTGAAGCGAATACTATACTATACCTTTGTATTTAAGCTGTAACCTGTATAATTGTTTTTTTTTCTTTTCGTTTTTTCATTACATGATAAGAAGTATAAAATTTAATCATTTTTATTTCTGACTATTTGTCATTTCTTCTTAAACTTTTTTTTTACTTCATTCTGCTTCTGTGCATTTTATAACTGATACAATGTGTGAGATCGTATGTACGATCTAAAAATAGAACCAACGTGCACAGTGGACAATATATTTTTTTTACGACACAAAATCATATACTCTTACTTGGACAATTAATAGTAAAAGTATAAATCACTCACAGCTACAATAAAACATTTGCACTTTCGTGCAATACCCTTTTTTTCACCAGAATTTCCTCTGTAACATCTAATATACGGTACCCTTGGATTTGGACGCATTGATTTTGGCACGGGACTCATTGTTGTCATTAAGAGGGGTCCTTTGGACCCATGATAACCATTTTCAAAATGAATCACTGTAGTTGTAATCATTTTCTTAGATAATTTATGTGGCCCCCATGAAAGCATTGGCTGCGGAGATGGTCCGTAACTTTGGGGGTCGGTTAGAACCACTTGGAATTGCAGTCAAAGAACTTACAGGGGACATGCAGTTGTCAAAGTCTGAGATCCTCAAAACACAGGTATACCGCTTAATTTTTATCTTAAAACTTTAATGAAGTTCAGGTAAAGGAAATGCTGAATCAATTTTTGTTTAGACCTATCTTTTATATGCCAGAGCTGGAATAGAGAGAATTCATGATTTTTCTTTCAATTACATAGCAAATGAAAGTGAAGTACTGTACGTAGATCACATTATTTTTGCGACACCTTATTTTCACGAGATAGCTATTTGGTATTAAGCGAGACAAAATTTTTGCAAGCTGTGGTTTCTGTTCTATATAATCCTTAACAATACAAGTATATGCAAGAACAAAATTTTTGCGAGCAAACAGACTTGTGTAATAACGCGGAAATAAAGTTCTCACAAATAAAAAATGATTTACAGTATGTTATCAATATCCAATCAAGTAGAATTTTGATACATTTTAATCAGAACCTTCTGTTATAGATGTTGGTGACAACGCCAGAGAAGTGGGACGTGGTGACCCGTAAGAGCACAGGGGATGTAGCACTGACCCAGCTGGTCAAGTTACTAATTATAGACGAGGTCCATCTTCTCCATGATGATCGAGGATCAGTCATAGAGAGTCTGGTAGCCAGAACAATTAGACAGGTAAAGGCCAAGTATACCCACAGAAATTATAATACAGTCAAATTCAGCTATAAAGAACTCACTTATAAGGAAATCTTTGATATAAGGAAACTTTTGTGAATCCTACTTTACCTTGCATTAAAAAAAAAAAATCGATGTATACCTTTAGTAGTGTACATGTCTTTGCATTGGGTTGCCAATAAAACTTCAAAGATTTCTGTATTCCCGCAGCTAAAATTATATGCCTATTGTTTTATGATAATATTCCTGTACACTTTCTGTAGGTGGAGAGTTCACAGAGTATGATTCGTATCATTGGTTTATCTGCCACCCTCCCTAACTACATTGATGTGGCCCGATTCCTTCATGTCAACCCTTACGTAGGACTCTATTTCTTTGATGGAAGGTTTAGACCAGTCCCTCTCGGACAAACATTTGTAGGTAATGGAAACCTTATTTGTTCTGATTTCTGACTAACAGTTTAGAGAGTAAGTTCTCATCTTATTGCTTATTAAATTTTGTTAATGATACCTACATGTTTTGATTTTTATGTAATGATTTTAACATTTTGACATGTAAAAAATACACTCACAGGAGAAAATATGCGTATTAAATTTTGTATGATTTTTACCATATGTTTTGCAGGAATTAAGGCGACCAGTAAAGTTCAGTTTCTTCAGGACATGAATACAGTTTGTTATGAGAAGGTTCTGGAACAAGTTAAGCAGGGTTACCAGGTGATGGTGTTTGTACATGCTCGCAATGACACGGTCAGGACAGCCATGGTACTACGAGAAATTGCCAAAAACAACGGAGAGATGGGATTCTTTTCTCCCGAGCAATCTGCACAATATGGGCAGGCAGAAAAATCTGTGAGTTCAATATATAGCCCTGGTAATGATTCCAATTCACTAAACATCTCAAACAACAATGCAAGGAGATAAATCATTTAGCAACTATTCAGTATGTGTGTATATCTTTGGTGCCTGCATCCTTATATTGCTCAGAATGCAATATAAAGTGTACCATTTGACCTTTAAGTTTATACTTGAGGCAAATTTTATTCATAATCTGTGATTGTCATAAATCTATATTAAGGAATGATCTAATTTGATCATGCACATTATATTTCTGATATCAGGAAGTACTATTTATATAGCTACAGTAAGACTCATTCATTTTTAACAAAAACTAAGTGACATGTTTTGTTTTTCAGACACTGAAATCTCGTAACAAACAGCTGAAGGAGCTGTTTCCCGATGGTTTTGGAATTCATCATGCGGGCATGCTCAGACAGGACAGGAACTTGGTGGAGAGATATTTTGCTGCGGGACACATTAAATGTCTGGTGTGTACGGCTACTCTGGCCTGGGGTGTCAATCTGCCTGCACATGCTGTCATCATTAAGGTACTTGAGAGCAGCATTTTTCCTGAGATATTTTTAATCTGATTTATTTTCTTTATAAAATTTTGATTTTCATTATTTTCAATGTTTTGGATATGTATAAAATCTATCATGTAGTTGAGAGTAATATTTGAATTTTTTTAACCAAGACAAGCATTTTCAATGGAGTAGTACTTTTTTCCCAAATTTGGTTTTTAATTATTTTTTTAAATTTTGATTTTTTTGGAGATAATCATTTATTGCTTGTTTATAGATATGATAAATGTAATTGAGACACTTTACGAATACACACCATTAAAGAGAATGAGTCTGTGACTGAAATAAAAAGCTCACTCCTTGTAACTGTAATGATAATTCACTAAATTACCTATTCCAGTACACTTACTTTCATTCCGTTATGCTTACAGGGAACAGAGATTTATGATTCTAAGAAGGGAGCCTTTATAGATCTTGGAATTCTGGACGTCATGCAGATTTTTGGACGAGCTGGTCGTCCACAGTTTGACAAGTTTGGACACGGAACAATTATCACGGCACATGAGAAGCTCTCTCATTACCTGTCACTGATGACCCGACAGAATCCAATAGAAAGTCAGTTTGTGAACAGTTTGACAGACAACCTTAATGCTGAGGTATGCTCTTAAATACTTTCATCCTTCAGATGACCCATTTTATAAATACATATATGTCTTAAGGTAGTCATTCTGTTATTTTGATTACCATGCAGTGAGATATTAACACGTGATACATGTATAATTGTTTTATAATTGATTAAGAGTATCTCCAGCATCTCCAGAATTCCATTGTATCTTAATAATATGAAAAATGTACAGCAGTGTGTATCAAAGACCCAGACTGCATTCTCTGTTATTTGCTTAATAAAAAAGAAAATGCAGATTAGAAAAGACTGACACTTTATATTTTAAACTATTACAGATAGCTCTTGGTACAGTGACAAACATTGAGGAGGCAGTGAAGTGGCTAAGTTACACGTATCTGTATGTTAGGATGAGGTGTAATCCGCTGGTTTACGGTATCAACTATAATGCTGTGGAGGTAAGTTTGGCTAAAGGATGAGGGAGAATGAGGGGAGGTTAGTGACATGAGTGAGCTAGGGTAACAGAGTGAGGGTGATCCTAATCATGTGTTGTTTCTATTATTGGTGCCCTAACATTCTAGTCATCCTTTGTATCTCTCCTTGGTGCCCTTTTCTTCTTGAACAACTGTCCTTGGGTTAAGGAATGGATGGAATGGGTGGTGCTATTAGTGTACCATAATCAACTTATGATTATTCATAGGCTATTGTAATGTAGTTTATTTAAAGCACTTTTACCAATATTGAAGTATGGACACTTATTTGTGTAGAATGATCCTTTGTTGGAGCAGCATCGCCGGGACCTGATAGTGGATGCCGGTAGAAAGCTGGATAAAGCCCAGATGGTGAGGTTTGATGAGAGGACTGGATATTTTGCATCCACAGACCAGGGACGTATTGCCAGTCACTTCTACATTAAATATGATACTGTTGAGGTAAGATTTTGTCTGGTTCTTGTGCAAAAAACTTCCATATTCTATAATTGTAATGATTTTACAATAAGTCTGACATGGTTATTTCTGATACAGGTGGTTAATGAGCATTTAAGGCAAATTATGACAGAGGCAGATGTTTTTGCACTTTTGTCCAAGGCTCAAGAGTTTGACCAAATTAAGGTAACTTATTTTCTTATCATTGAACCTTTAAGTCTAAAAACTTATTTTGAGACTCTTTCTGAATGCATCACTTTTATATTTTCTAATGATGTTTAGGTCCGAGATGATGAGATGGATGAATTGGATGACATACTCCACAATGTCTGTGTGATGCAGGTCCTCGGGGGATCAGAAAACACATACGGAAAAGTCAACATCCTGTTACAGGCTTACGTGTCCAGACACAACATGGATGCATTTTCTCTGGTGTCTGACCAAGCTTATGTGGCTCAGGTAAGAAATTTGTAGTGGTAATGATCTTTGAAGTCTATTGTTTCAATTTTCGTTTTTATTTTAGGAATGATATGGAATAGTATCAGAAAAGAAAATGTAAATATACATAAATACATTTATATACTCATTTTATCTCCAATGCCAATGAATCAGATACAGGTACAAATTCCTTTTGTCACTCAATATTCTTTTTAATTAATCCCCAGTTCAACATTTTAATTGTTAATGAGAATTTTGAAGTAATTGTACCTTGATATCATTAATTTATAATGGTTCCTTGACACCATTGTAGAATGCTGGTAGAATAGTTCGAGCACTGTTTGAAGTCAGTTTGAAAAAAGGTTGGCCTGTAATGGCAGGGCGACTTCTTAACCTGTGCAAGACAATTGACAAGCGACTTTGGGGGTTTGAGAACCCTCTCCGACAGTTTCCTCTCCTCACCAGTGAAATTCTCAACAAACTGGAGGCAAAGAAATTGACAGTGGACAAACTTAAAGAAATGGAACCCAAGGAAATAGGTGAGGGAGCTAGCTATATTTGCTAATTCAAATCAGCAATATTAATGAAAAGAATTGGTGTTTTTTGTGCTTAAAGCTTTTTAGAAATAATCAGAAGTACATGTATGTAGGCAAAATAAACAAAACTGTTACAATGGTTTAAACTCACTATCAACGCAGAAGTGGTGAATTAAGGAAGAGCTGAGTCCTTGCCCTGGGATCATGAAACAGACTTAGACTTAAGTCAAATTTTCAGTCGTCCATAAAATATTTATTACTGATTAATCAAAACTCGTAAGATGTTTCATAATCCTGGGATCTTATCTACCAGCATGTACAAAGTTCAAGATCTTGAGTTCAAAAAACTTCAAAACTGAGTGTTATGGATATCATATTTGAAACTTGATTGAAAATAGGGTCAGGACATCTGACTCACCTAAATATTGTCCCTGTTATTGGACATAGAAATGATTGAGATGCTGAAGTGTAACTATATTACTGTTTATGTTCAGGTCACATGGTTCACCATCCTAAAATGGGTGGTGTGATAAAGAAATGTGTGAATCAGCTTCCTTCATTGGATCTGGAGGCCAGTATTCAGCCAATCACACGTACTGTATTAAGAGTGAGACTCTCCATTCAGCCTGAATTCAGATGGGATGACAAGGTATGTACATACTTGCTCTTTCTGTTTTTTGCTCATCTGGTCATAGGCTCAAGTAAACATTTCTGATCAGCATTAACACAGTTGGATTAATGCTCATTGGACTTTTGTTAGAATTATATTAATGAAACCAACAGATCAACATGGATTTTGACACAAAGATCCAAATAAACAAATCTACTTGGTTTTCAGTAATAATTTCTAACAAAAGGCCAATGAGCATTAATCCAACTGTGTAAATGTTGATTAGTAATGTTTACTTTTTGTCCACATCCACATTGAATCTAGCCTTCAAATCTGTTGTTTGTGATGTAGGTACATGGCAGTACAGCTGAATCCTTCTGGATCTGGGTGGAGGATCCGGATAACAATCACATTTACCACTCGGAGTACTTCCTACTGCATAAAAAACAGGTACTTATTCCAGTTATTACAGAGGCAGGTGCTTGTTAATTATAATCTGTAACTTTACTGGGAGTCAAAGGTCTAGATTTCCAGTTTAACTTTGGAAAATGTTAAATTTATTTAAGTCTTTGAAAGAAAGATAACAACTAATTACTGTAGATGCTACATTATATATTCTGTATGTGATTGATTGACAGGTGCTAGCAGGGGAAGCTCAGCAGCTGGTGTTTACTATCCCTATTTTTGAACCCCTCCCTTCCCAGTACTACGTGAGAGCCATGTCAGATCGCTGGCTAGGATCTCAGAGTTCATGTGCAATATCATTTCAACATCTCATCTTACCTGAAAGGCACCCCCCTCACACAGGTAAGTTAATCTTCTTCAAACAATCAACAATGCTTATCATTCTTTTAACTATCCATGTCATACATTTAACTAACCTCATCATGTAATTATTTACAGTTTTTCAAACATGTACAGATAAAATACAATTCACTATAAACAAAATAATTACAGATAACTGTCCACCTACATGTAATTCTTTTGATTACATCCACATGTTATTAAAAATTTCACCTGCATTAAGATACATGTAGGTGTACACCTTAACATGTACAGTGTGTATATCTACTACTGTCATCCCTGTTACATTGTTAAATATCCACCTGTACACATGATTATCCACATCATTCACATGGCCATATCATGTTGGTAACTTTATCCACCTGACATGGTAACTCATTCATCTCTTACAGATAATTACATCTATCTGATATAGATAATTCAAGCCATCTCTTAGAGATAATAACATCTGTCTAATATAAGCCATCTCTTACAGACAATTACATCTGTCTAATATAGATAATTTGAGCCATCTCTTACAGATAATTACATCTGTCTAACATAGATAATTTGAGCTATGTTTTTCAGATAATAGTATCTGTCTAATATAGATAATTTGAGCCATGTCTTTCAGATAATAGTATCTGTCTAATATAGATAATTTGAGCCATGTCTTTCAGATAATAGTATCTGTCTAATATAGATAATTTGAGCCATCTCTTTCAGAAAGTAGCATTCATCTAATATAGAAAATTTGAGCCATCTCTTTCAGATAATTACATCCATCTAATATAGGTAATTTGAGCCATCTCTTTCAGATAATTACATTTATCTGATATAGATATTTCAATCCATTTCCTTCAGGTAATAACGTCTGTTTAATATAGATTACTTGAGCCATCTCTCTGATATAAGCACATCTGTCTTAATCAAGCCATCTCTTACAGGTAATAACATCATCTCATATAGATAATTAATCTAACTTTTTCAGGTAGTTACATCAATCTTGTGGTATATTAAATCAATTTCATACAGGTTTTTACATTTTTCTCATATAGGTTTTTTATATTCATCTCATGCACAACGTTTTGATAATCACCATCACTTTAACTACTTTAGAAATATCATTACATATAGCACATTTATATAAAGTTAAACTGTAATAGTTTTAGCTTATGGGTTACTTGACAATTTAAGCAGCACATTGAAAAATCATGTTTATTGAACTATCAAGTAACAGAAAAAATAAATAAATAAAATAAAAATAAAAAAAAAAGCCTTTGACTAATTTCTAAAAGGGAAAGGAGTCTGTAACAGTAACTCCAAGAGGATTTGTAGGACTGGTAATTGATAGTTTTAATTCTAGATTTTCCAGTTTCTGTAAATCTTGATAACCTCCCATTACAGAATTACTTGACCTGACTCCACTACCAAAGTCTGCCCTAGACAACCCGGCCTTGGAGGCACTTTACAAGTTTTCTCACTTCAACCCCATCCAGACCCAGATCTTCCACGTCCTGTATCACACAGACACTAATGTCCTACTGGGGGCCCCTACAGGATCAGGTAAAACCGTGGCAGCAGAGATGGCTATATTTAGAGTATTCAGAGAGTATCCCAAAGCTAAGGTAAGAGGACAACTCCCACACTCAGTTATGCTTATTAAACATTGTCTCAGCAGACAGAAAAGTCTCTTCTGCAGATTGCTGTATACAGGGTTATTTTTGCCCTTTTACACTTGCAAACAATTTTGCCCCATTTTAAATTCGCCCTGTCACAGTTTTGTTTAAGAAGATATACTGTTTTCTTTTAATTCTTCCCGTCTTAAATTCGCTCAATTGTGTCTAGGACGAAAGAGGCGAAAATAAAACGGGGCAAAATTTTCCATGTATACAGTATCAGATTCCTGCTAGATCAGAAGTGTTAATAAATGTATTTGTTGATAAAAGAAGATGACTATAGTGAAGAATCAAAATTTGATTTAGGCTGTGTATATAGCTCCTCTGAAAGCCTTAGTCAGGGAGAGAATGGAAGACTGGAAGGTCAGGATAGAGCAAAAACTGGGTAAAAAGTAAGTTTGATTAAACAAATCTAGACAGTCCACTGTCTCTCTGAATTAAAATTATTTCACAACATTAAATGTCTAGAAGCACATTTACAAGTTTTCTCACTTCAACTTGATCCAGACCCAATGGGTTTTTTTTTGCATACCTTCAATATCATTATAGAGTAGTGGAGTTGACAGGGGACGTAACTCCTGACATGAGAGCGGTGGCCAATGCAGACCTGATAGTGACTACTCCAGAGAAGTGGGACGGGGTCAGTAGAAGCTGGCAGACCAGGAGTTATGTCAAGGCTGTGTCTCTCCTCGTCATTGATGAGATCCATTTACTGGGTAATTACAAGTCTATAATTATAATTTACTTTTTACAGGGTTATTTTCCCCTCATGTTATTTTTGCCGTACATTAAGATAACTATGCTTCTATTGAATTTGCCCCCTTTTTGAATTTGCCCACTAATGATGAAGGTGGAAGGGGTGAAAATAAAACAGGATGAATTTTTCTTGTATACTGTATCTTTATGTGTTGTTTTATGTAAATACATCTCAAATTTCTATAATTATGTATTTTTAGTGTATTTTTACATGTAAATATATCTGAACATGTATAAGTTGTAATAGTATTTCCTAATGAAATCGATTGTTTTAGCCATAAAATGTGTACATTAATTGAAAATGAGAATTTATTCCTCTAAATTGGTTTCCTTCCTAGGTGATGACAGAGGACCAGTCTTGGAGGTCATTGTTTCCCGTACAAACTTTATCTCCTCACACACAGAGAAGCCTGTCAGGGTTGTAGGTTTATCTACAGCGCTGGCAAATGCCCGAGATCTGGCAGACTGGCTGGGAATAAAACAGGTCTATGTTTTTATAATGCTGTTTTTTTAAAACTTGCATGTGAAGTAAAACAGTGAAATATTTTAAAGTCACTCCATTTCCCTTAGAAATGTTGTGTTGTGTATTGAAGAGATGAGGTCTTATTCAACATATTGAATACAAAGAAAACACATTTTTATTCAGTATTACTGAATTGTTTTATGTTGATTCAGGATGCTGATTTCTTTCATTTTTATGCCCCTAATCAAAGATTTGTGGGCATGTAGTTTTCGGACTATCAATCCATCTATCTGTTTGTCTGCAAATTTTGAATTTTCTTTTTAGTTGCAATAATGTAGCCCTCTCTGATTTTTTTTTTTTTTGGGAGAGGGCTACAACTCCTTAGGATCTCCGTAATGGTGCAAGTGCGGGAGTGATTCACTACCGCACAGATTTTGGCTCAAATTATCAGTAAGTGGGTATTTTATTAACATATCTTACCTGAACTCATAAAATGTAGTTATTCAAGATATGAATTGATCCAAAAATATACAGAACAATCTGTATTTCGGTTATTTTTCGTGTATGTCAACATCACAACTTGAATTTATCCGCCATGTTTACTGACCTTGATCGATTTTATTTTGGGACAACCAATGAGAATTCGGGATCTAGGGGAGCGGATCGTTTAGGATTTCCCTTATTTTAAGCATAAATATCACAGTTTATGAAAAAAATATCCCATGGAATGCTTTTATTTATCGATATTTAGTGATATCATACAACACGAACATTTATCAACACCGATATTTACTTTATCAAGTGATTCTAAATTTCAAGTGCAAGTCTCAGTACATCACGCGAGAACTGTCATGGCTGCTGAGGAGAACGACTGGTAAACAAGCAGATTTATTTTACTTGGTTTTCGCGTATAAAGGGTTATGATGTTGATAGTGAATAAAAATTCCGTCTCATTGGAAGTAAGTTGAATGCAAAAACAATTCATTTTGCCTGCAGTCGCCCGTATCTAATAAATATATTTGCACCAATACGGAGATGCAGTGGAATTGTAGCCCTCTCCTGAAAATATCAGATTAAAAAAAAATCGGAGAGGGCTACATTATTGCAGCTAATTTCTTTTGAATGGTTGGTACTAAGGCTTTCAATTTCACATGTGTATTTCTTTCTTTGAGTACTAACATATTGAATCTTTTGACCTTGACCTTGGAGTTTGACCTACTTTTGAAAAATTTACCAAACTTTATCCTTAGTCATAACTTTTGATTGATTGTTGACATGGCTTTTATATTTCACATGTGTATTTTATGTGACCAGACTTTTTGGGAACCAACATTTTTAACTTTTTGACCTTGTCTGAGTTTTACCAACTTTTGGAAAAATTTAATCTTTGCCACAACTTTTGAATGGTTGGTGCTAAGGCTTTCATATATCACATGTGTATTCTTTGTGACAAGACCTTTCTTTGGGTCTGACATTTTTTACTTTATGACTTTGACCTTGGAGTTTGACCTACATTACAAAAACTTTAACCTTGTCTTTAACTTTTGAACAGTTCATTCTAGGGATTTATTTATGTATCCCTTTTGACAAGACCTTTTCATTGGTACTAATATTTTGACCTCATGAACTTGACCTTGGAGTATGACTTACTTTTGAATTAATTTAACCTTGGCCATATTTTCTGAATTGTTGGTGCTAGGGCTTTCTTATTTCACATGTGTATTTCTTATGACAAGACCTTTCTTTAGGTACCACCATCTTTGACCTCATGACCTTGGAGTTTGATCTACATTTGAAAAACTTTAACCATGGCCTTGAGCCGCCATGTGGGGGCATCAATGTTTCACAAACACATATTATTGTTTTTAGCTCTAAGGGTCAATGGCCAGAAGAGCCTATGCGATGGTATCAATGGTGTCAATCTGTCCGTCTGTTTGTCCGGAAATAATTTTTTCAAAATTCTATGTTTTCTACATTTTTTTTTTAATTTAAATAAATCTTGGAAAACAAGTAGACTACACAAAGACACATCTATGTAATTCTGTATATCTTTTTTCAATTTTGACCAATGGTGTTTCTTTGGTTACTAAACAATGCTACTCCTCCTACAGATTAATTTGATTTCAATGAAACTTTGTGCACAGGTAGATTACACAAAGATACAAAATTCTAAAATTTTAGACCTTTTTGATATTGCAAAGTCTAGGATTTAAACGGTCAAGATGGTATAATTAATACATTTTATGGATGGAATGGATTTTAAATTTCAAAAAGGGAATATGAGGAAACAGATTTGAGGAGCTTTCGAAGAAAAAATATCCTGTTTGTTGACATTTTGTATGTATTTCTTTAGATGGGTTTGTACAATTTCCGTCCCTCTGTGCGACCTGTACCCCTGGAGGTTCACATCCATGGATTTCCCGGCCAGCATTACTGTCCACGCATGGCCACCATGAATAAACCAACCTTTCAATGTAAGTCAGACAGATATACATGTAGAATATTTCTTATTATAAATAGATATGTTGTTTCTATTCACTGATCATGTTTAATTTTTGTACTTCTTTACTGATAAAAAAAAAAATGTTGGACAGATGACACATATTTTAAGGAAAGTTTAATTTATAACATTTAGAAGCAAGGTTCTTGTGAGGTGTTACATCATTAAAATGTGTAGAAGCCGGATGCTTTGTACAGAGTGTTACAACATTAAAACATGTAGAAGTAAGGTGCTTGTACAAAGTGTTACATCATTAAAATGTGTGGAAACAAGGTGTTTTGTACAGAGTGTTTTATCATTCAAGCATGTACGTAGAATCAAGGTGCTTGTTTAAAATGCAACATCATTAAAACATTAAGAGGTAAGGTGCTTTGTACAGAGTGTAGAATACAGTAATAACCAATTTATATGCAATGATTACACGCTATCTCCTGTAATGTCTATTATGGTTATCGACAAGAAATCTAAAAAAGGAGGAAACTCGATGAAGAATGCTAATTTTTTCATATTGAGTTGTTAATAATCAAGTAAAGGATGGTGGAATCCCTACTTATTTAGGAATGTAAGCCTGTGTGATAAACAGTTTTCATAAATTGCTGTCATGGTTTATTGGGCATCAAAAACAGTTTTCTTGTTTGATGGATTTTATGTAATTGCATCCAAAGATACATAAAAAACTTGTGGGGGAAGACATCTAAGCTGAAAATGATAGTTTTAAAACTGTCATTTCTCATTTAAACCAATTTAAGGTTTGAATGAATAATACTAGTAATATTTCAGTAAATCTTATGGGTCATGCTTTAAATGCTATGTTTTATTTTTTGATCTACTAGAATTTTAGTCAGGTAGAATGAAGAAAACTCACTTCTTATCTGTGCTATTCATTGGGTTAGTAATATTTACAAAAAAAGACAGGTTGTGTACTGGGATAAGTCATCTATAGACATGAAAAGTGAGGCATTACTGCCAAGCATCAAGATATGGTGCATATATAATCACAATGTCCATCTGTCTGTCTGTCCCTTAATTCTGCACTGACATTGTTACACAAAAAATATCTAGTACAAATATGCCAAACAATTCATAGAGTCAGTTAGATTTTGAGGCTATGGCTCGAAAGAGCGTGGTGGGGGTGGTAGTGGATAGCTGTTGAAAATCTGTAGAGTCACATAGCATCAGTTTCAGAAAGACATTAGGTACCGTATATACTCGCCTATAAGTCGGTCCGCCTATAAGTCGGTTGTATTTTTTAAGCTTACATTAAAGGGATTGACCCGCTATTATACCAATATTTTCATAACTCGCCTATAAGTCGGACAGGGGTTTTTGGACCAAAGTTTAACTCCCAAAAAACCGACTTATAGGCGAGTATATACGGTACTGTTCCTTCCAAAATACTGCCTATCCATGAGGCCCCTGACAGGGAAATCTTCAGCTACGGGGACCTCATTAGGGAAATATGTTTCCTGGTATAACTCAGTTTATAATACTTATAAACTCTAATTGAAATTGCATGTGTATGCCTTCATTACAGTACATGTACAGTTGAACTTCATTATCTCAAATACCATGGATATGTTGAAGTGATTTGGAAGTTCTAATTGCTTATTCAATAAGTATTTTTCCCAGAATATATCTAACCCTCAGATTTCTTGAAGTATTTTCTCAGTCCCACTTGGTTCAAGAAAACAAGGTTTGATTGTATTTCATTTAGATCATGCAAGGTTTCATTTTGAATCCGTGTATACATAATTACTAAATTGGAACTGGAAAAAATTGTGTAAGTTATTAGTGTCTTGAAGAAAATAACTTCTGAGAAATATCAGCTGACTACATCAGTGATGACACAGAGTGACAAAATCGAGACATCGCCTGTAGCTTTGCCATTTATAACTCTCTGGAGGATAGAAACAGAATTTTGTCTATTGCCGCAGACATCTGATTAAGTTGTGGAGGAGAACATTCATACTCATTAACAATTATGTGCTCACAAATTAAGTCTTGTGTCTAAGATATTTATTATGAGATCTAACATAGTCAAGTTACATGGAATGTACAGTTTTAGTATAAATGTGTGACATTGGCTTGGTTAATAAGTCTCATACATGTCGGTTTAGTTAATAAGTCTCATACATGTCTTATGAGGAAAAGCAAATATTGGTCAAATATAGTAACTAAGTTGATATGATATATACAGGCTGTAAATTGCTCAACAGTATTATTTTCTGCTGTAACAGTATATTCTTTTAGAAGTTGTGCAAGTATCTAGAATCCATTCAAAACAAACTTCTGCTTAAGATAGCTGACAGGGGTTTCATTGCACAATATTTTGTGCAGTATAGTGAAATACAGCATATTAATAAAGTTTAAAGATAAAACAGATTTAATTTTAAGATAATATTTTTATATCCTTTATCAAATTAAACAGAATTAAGACATAAGTAAAAATCTTTTGCATTCTTTTAAAAAAAAAAATCTGTTTAACAATTTTTTTTTCAAATGATAGGTTGATGGACATCATAATTGTGTGTTTGTGATGTTATTATTAGCTGAAGTTCATAAGAAGGAGGTCATAAATTTGACATAAAAAAAGTATAAAGTATGGTAGATACTTTTAAAATTTAAAACATAGAAAATTACAAATCTCACTGTAATTTTTAGTTATTTCTGTATGAGTCCTTAGTATCGATAATATTTTGTAGTATGTACTACATAAAAATAGTAAAATTTTGTAAATATTTACAATTTAAGATGTCTACTTTAAAAACCAGCTGGTAAAATTTTGTGTTTCTTATATATAATATACTAAGTAGTATTACTCAATATATACCAATATTACAATTTGCATGAGCAAAAAGTCTATTGCAGTATTTTATAATTTGCTTCAAAATGCAAAAAGCAGCATTTCCCAAAATAATCATAGAATAAATGTACCTGTATTTTGAAATAGTCCCTAAAATGTACCCAGTTAAACTTGCTCGGCATGTACACATTTAAGTCAGTTTAGGTAACACATGGTGTAAAAATAAACAGTAACTAAAGACTGCTTCTTTCATTTTTTTGCTTCATACAACATGGAATGAATACTCTTTTAACATTCTTTGGTAGCAGAAATTCTCCGCTATGTTTAAGGATGTTACCCATTACTGGAATCTTACAAATAAGGCTGGGCTGCATTACTGATAAACAGTTGTAAATAGTTGCACCTTACACAGATACAAAGAAGCAATGTCGAGGAGTTACATTATGGCTAGTTTAGGAAGATTTACAATACATGTATTGTATGATACACAATATAGTTAGGAAGACAAAACATGATATAGGGTTATTGAATTTATATTGGTGAATATTGGCACGAGTTTGCTGTACAAATGCACGAGCTTGCGAAAAAGCCTTGAATAGTTCCTGATATGACTCATTCCCTGTGGAGGCAGAACCCCGTAATGTCACTGACCAATTTTAGAGTGCTTTCTTCCCCACTGCGGTGTTTAATGTGGTGTCTGATGACTGTTAGTGTTTCCTGTTGAACAAGAGTTGGATAGGAAAGGTCATGACCTTATTGATCCACCTATAATTTACAGAGTTTGTATCGCTCTCTCTGGTGGATCTTTACAGTAGTCCTCGAATCATTTACCAGAGTAATGACACCTATCAGATGAAGCTGGCTGATGGACTGGCTGTTTTCTTTGTCAGTATAATGTTATTAATAAACCAATATTTGCTCTCTGAATTATGTTTTTACTCCCCAAACGATGAATGGTTTCATTTACTAATGAAAATAGATAATTGTGCTTTGTGACTTATTTCATTATCTTTCAGGTAGAAACATGTTCTCATTATTTCACCATGTATTTTTGTGAAAGTTGATAGTATTTCATAATAGGATGCTCTTTAGAGTTTAAGTTAATTATGATCACCCAGAATCAATTTTGGCTGGGTTAAAATATTGTTTTTAGTTGTACTGCCAAACATTTTAAAGAGCATTTTGTGAAAATGAAATAAAGAAACAAACAGGTTAACTTTGTATGTAGTCACTAAGATTGAGTGCATACAAATTGGCAAATTCAGAGAATTGTGGTCCCCCACTTTTGGGGCCTTATTGGTTGGGGTGCAATAAACCAATTGACGTATTGTAACTGTCTTGTTTATAATGTCTGTTCATCATGCTAAGAAGTTTTATATTTTTGAATAAATATGTTGTACCAACATTACAGCCTAGTTAAATGTTTTGAAAATTATTTCATACTGCAAGGTCATGAAACAAAAAAACATAGTACATTTGAAAAAAAGATCTTGACACAGGAAATGCAAGTGTAAAAATATGAAAGCCCTATCTTTTCAGGTACAAAAGCTATGGCCAAGGTTAATTTGAAAAGTATAGGTCAAACTTCAAGGTTAAGGTCAGAACAGTAGTACATCCAGAAAGGTCTTGTCACAGGGATTGTACACAAGAAATATGAAAGCCCTATCTTCTCTCATTCAAGAAATATGAAAGCCCTATCTTCTCTCATTCAAGAAATATGAAAGCCCTATCTTCTCTCATTCAAGAAATATGAAAGCTCTATCTTCTCTTATTCAATAGTTAGGTTTGTTATTACCTTTAAAAATGTGTTCCTATATAAATCAATACTAATAAAAGTCTAACATTTCCAATGTTTTGCTGGTGGTCATAAAAAAAATCGATGTTTGACCACAGAGTGAGATGTTGGACCTGTCGATGAGATGTTGGACCGCTTACGTCACACAATGGGCGGGGTCAGCTAAATATCATTTGCATTCGTTGGTGTTTGACATACATGTATTCATGTTAAATAATAATACTAACAATAAAATAAATAAATGAAAGGTATAACAAAACATTTATTGACTGTATTCTCGGGCAAAATGCGTTTTGTCGACCCCTCGAACCAAACTGTTTGCCTTCCGCCTAACGGCCTCAAGCAAACAGTTTGGTTCTTGGGTGTGACAAAACGCATGTTGCCCGAGAACCCAGTCAATAAATGTACAGTATTATTAAAGTTAAAATTTGTAAAGAAAGTCATACTTCAAGGTCAAGCTCATGAGGTAAAAAAATTCACAGTATACAGGTAACTCTTGATGGCTCGAACTTCGATCTCTCGAAGTTCTTGATCGCTTGAAGTGAGTCTCTGGTCCCGAAATTTTCCACTATATAACTAAACAAATTTACTCTTGATTTCTCGAACTCTTGATCTCTCGAAACCCTTGATCCCTCAAAGTCAAAATGCAGTCCCGCTATGCATATTCTATTAGAATTTACCCTCGATACCTCGAAGTGGCTATGTGTATGCAAGATTATATAATTAGCACCTTTACCTGGACATTTAAATGGCCCAAGGCAGAAGACGCGGGTCTTTAGGACCGGGATGTTTATTCAGATGACACTTATGCTGCAAGGTGATAATTGATTTATAATTAATCATATTTTGCCTATATGCTATTAAAATAATTATCATCGACTGTCTTACGATAATTTAGAGATGCAGTGTCATTGAAAGTAGTAATTGATTAAAAGACAAAACACTAATTTAACTTTTATTTGGAGTCAATGTCAAAGTTAAACGAAATAGGAAAAAAAGCAGAAACAGCCTCAATGTCAATATGACAACTATTATTGGACAAATACTTACAGAACTGCGTTCAATGATCATTTTTGGAATAGTCAAAGGTATGTAGGACGCTGTAAAATGTCGTTTTCATGTAACGAATGTTTAGTACAATGTCCGTATTACAAAGAAAAAAAAAATATATACATGAAATGACGATATACTTTTTTTGCTTTACTCAGTTTAATAAAATATTCATCTGAATTACGAAAAAATATCGTTGTTTTATATAAACCACATGTAAAAGGTTAGCACTGCATGAAAATCATTACATCCGGTAAGACTAATTTTAAAACCTGTCAACAAACCCGGAAAATTCCGGACTCTTGAAATCTCTCGAAGTTTTTTCTCGGTCCCGCGGACTTCGAGTAATCGAGAGTTACCTGTATTTGAAAAGATCTCGTAGGTAATATTAATGCATGTGTGAAATATGAAAGCCCTACCTTTTCTCATTCAAAAGTTATTACAAGTTAAAAATTTTGAAAAGTAAGTGAAACTTCAAGGTCAAGGTTATGAGGTCAAAAATCAAAGTGTATTTAAAAAGGTTTTGTCATAGATAATGAAATATATAAAAGCTGTATCTTCTCTTATAGAAAAGTTATTACCAATTATAATTTTGGAAAAGTATGTCTCAAACTCCAAGGTCAAGAGGTCAATAATAGTCTGAAAAGTATTGCAACAGGTAATGCACATGTAAAAAATTATGAAAGCCCCTATTTTCTCTTATTCAAAAGTTATGACCAAGGTTAAAGTTACTGTGACTGACAGATGGATGAGCAGACAAATGGATAGATAAACGAGATTGAAAGTCATGAAAGCACCTGGGACAAGAATTTGTACAGCAAAACTCATAGTGAATTTCAATAGAACAAAGAGAAAAAACTTTTTTAGTTTTATAAATTTTATACATTTATAGCAAATTCATTGCAAATCTTAAGAGGAATTTGTTATGAAACAAAAATTTTAAATACTTTATTCCATTTTAAATTTGTAATTGTATCTTTCCACAGCCATAAAAACCCACTCCCCTGAGAAGCCAGTCCTTGTGTTTGTGTCGTCAAGGAGACAGACACGGCTGACCGCCCTTGACCTGATTGCCTTTCTTGCTGCAGAGGACAACCCCAAACAATGGCTACATATGGGGGAAATGGAGGTGAGGGGGATACTAGTCATTAATAATATTATGTGTAGGAGATTACTGAACCAAATAACTAAATATTCCAGCTTTGGTAATGGAGGCTGCTAGACTGTACTTATTGTGGCCCTGAGTACTTTCAATCATAGGTATAAATCTTATTTAGAATGGGCAGATTGAAGACATTTAAAAAAATATATCTTTCAATGTATACAAGTATATTGCATGTAGTACTTCTATATATGTTGATCAAGGTTTCGTGCATTCATCTACAGTCTCAACTAACTAGCAAAAGGGTTCCATTAATAGATTTTACAATACCCCTGAATGTAGATTGAATTTCATTTATTGCTGCAATTTAGTATTAATTTGAGTCTGTGAACTTAGTGCGTGACTCATGAGACAATGTTTATCTTTTAAGTTTCAGAAGTTTTTGATTTCATTAGGTCTATAAAAGTGCACAGGCCAAAAAAAAAAAATGCTTAAATATGGGTGTTTAATTAAACAATGATTACTTAGACTCCACCCTTATGTATAATTTGTGTGCATGTTTTGGAGCTTTGTTATAATTGCGGTTGTTTGATACGTGAAGAAGGAAGAAGATCATAGCTAATGGAAAATCCCTACAGGTAAGGTTTGAATCTCAATACAGGTATACTTGTATTATATATCTGTATTTTTATTGTCAGTGTGTGTGTGTGTGTGGGGGAGGGGGGGGGTTGTACCACTGTTACTACTCTACTTTGTTAATTGAGCTAGCTTTGACAGATTATTAGTGATGAATTAATTGCTGGACTTGATGCATACTTAATTAATTTGGAACAACTTTCATTTCAATTGTGGAAATCTATGTAATATTTCTCCTTTTGACATTTGTTTTTGGAATCTAAATAGATTATAAATTTTATGTTATATTTGAAGCTGTTGAACTCAGCAACCATTGCCTAAGTCTGCTATGTTGCTGAATGTGGATTTTTCTCAAACAGGGACTAATAATTTCAGTAAGAGAGAAGTATAACCATAAAACAATGTGCCAAGAGGGCATGATGTCACTTTTATGATATAAATTGAATAGAGGTATCTCAGATTTAATGATTTTATTGCACAGTCAGAATGAACATCAAGGATTTAATGAACATTGATTGCAAGCTTGAAAGTTATACAATATTACAGAAAAATTAGAAACTTTTTCCATAATAAGTTCTTCATAACTCTGTGCATATACATAGGTCTCTTCTCTATCTGATTCAGCTCTAGGCTGTACCTTTTGCTTTTCTTCAGCAGGTCTATTCTGGCACCTAAATTCTTATTCTTTGTCTATAATGTTTGTGGTTATCAGGTCAGTGCCAGCCGTGTGATGCAAGATGCATGGTTTTTTTGGGGTGTGTCCTGTCCAACTCCACTTCTGGAGATTTGATTAAATTAGCTCTCGGTTGTTGATCCACTCTTTCCCACAGGTCTTCATTTCTGATCTCTTCTGCACATAGTTGTCTTTAACCTTACCCTGCAAGGAGATAGCTATGCATACTCAGCCTTCTTAAAGATTACTTTTCTAGAAATTATACTCTTTTCGGAAAGCTTTGCAAACTCAGAGGGCTCTATTCGAACAGAAGGCTTTGGAAAGGGAACATTTCAACAAGATGGGTATGCAAAATGTAGCTTAAAACTAGAGGGCATTGGAAATTCTGTCCACAATAAGAGGGCTTTTGAAACTTTTTATTCTTCAACTAGAGATTTACCTGAGAGATGTAATTTCAAACCATGCTGTTGGAGGTTTGGTAAATTTCAACAGTTTAACAAGTGCTTAAGAAAGAGGAGAACAATATTATAAAACAATTCTCAACCATTTACGAATAAAGGGGTTTAGTCTCTTGGATACTGGGATCTGTCTTTGTGTTTACAACAATGATTCCCCCCCCCCCCCCCCCCAAAAAAAAAGGAACTACAACCTACAACCATTACAATTATTTTTCAGGAAATATCTATTAAGCAATTTTCGCTGCTAGGAACAAAGGTTCTAGTTCCGAGCAGCTCTGTTATGGCAGATTGAATCCTTTATTCCTAGCTCCTATATATTGATTGTTCCTAGAATTAATAGTGAGCTGTTGTAAAACATTCACAGGTCATGAAGAAATGATAGTATTTATCTGGTACTTATCAACATATAATTTTTTTCTGTCATATTATCCTTATTAATTATCTTGTGGAGGTACATGTAGCAGTTGATTTAGATGATATTGCTTGAGTCAGGGAAATGAATATAAATAATTTATTTTGATGGGTAATCAGCTTTTAAACCTCCAGCTAAGAAATGCATTTTTCTTCCTCAAGAAATTTTTGTACACCTTGAAAAAACTAGAGGCCAAGGAAAGAAAAAAAGTTACATTTTAAAATGCTACTTGCTAGATAGAAAAGAAATGTGTTCTTTTCTCTTCTATAAATTTTCTTGCTGGAGTTTTTTTTTTCCTGAACACCCCTTTTGATCCCAACCTTACCCTTCCCAACCCCCAACCCACCCCCAAAATAGACAGTGAAAAAGAATACTGTATACAGGGAAAATTACACCTCCATTTTATTTTTGCTCCTTCCCCCCTACTCACAGGTGGGTGAATTTAAAACAGTGAATTCAAAGAATACAATATAATTTCTTAAACAGAACTGTGACTGGTCAAAGAGCAAGGGCCACTTCAGTCCTTTTTTGGCCCTGTAAATTTCTGAAAAATTAAAACTGCATAGTTTTAGTCGACAAGGCAATACTGGTAAATATCACTTGAACACTTGGTGACTGAATTTCTACTAAAAATGACGTAATTTTCTTGCTAGTCAATGCATTATGACATCATGAATTGCGTCATTATTCAAATATCCCGTATATTTCTTCAAAATGGCCAAAATATTATGCTATTTGTCAATATTTTGTATACAGCACAATCTCCGATCCAAAATGTGCAAATATATTATGAAAGAACAGCTCATTAAGATTATAAAACATACTTTAATTTTTGGATCGAAGGGTGTGCTCATATTTTAATTCTTTGTTGAAGGTTCTCAAATTTACCTGTTTTCTGCAAATTTCAAGAACTTTGCAATTTCACAAAACCTGTTTTCCAGTACCTGGACTCTTTAGAGGAAACTTTTATATACAAACTGTAAGCGCCAAGTCTCTACTTTACATTGATGTTGAGAAAGGGACATAGTGTGTTAGTGGATAAATCTGTTTATCTTCAGGGCCATTATATGCATGAAGTGAACCAAGCTCTTTAAAATGGGTCAAAATTGTTTGCAAGTGTGAGAGGGCGAAAATAACACGGGACGAAAATAACCTTGTATACAGTACCTGGTATATTGTATGAAGAGTTGAAAATCTGAAGAAACCTTATGCATAAGACTAATTACTACACTGTAGCCAGTTTTGAAGCCATTTTTTCCCTTGAGATACAAGGATGGCTGAAACTTTCTTCAGAGTAAGTTGGAATAATAAGGATGTGGTTTCTTAGTTAATGGAGTTTTCAGTCATTGATTGTGATATAAGGGTGTCATTAATGTTTAATTAATCATATATCATAACAAAGAATTATATACAATATGTATAAGACAAGAAGTATCCTTTGTGCTTTTTAATGAAGATCGACAACCTTTATGTCCAATAATTGGAAGGAGAATGTAACTTTAACAAATTGTTACATTATGATTTATTGCATCTTTAATGTGGTCATTCATCTTAACAATGTGATAATGGCATGGTAAGAATAAGTTACAGTCAAACCTAATTATCTTGAACTCAATGGGACCGAGAAAAAAATTCAAAATATCCAAGGATTAATGATATTGAGGATAAAATAATTGAAGAGTAAGTGGTTGGGACTTCCAGGTCAGTTCAACATATCCATGGTGTTTGAGATATTGGTGTTCAAGATATCAAAGTTCAACTGTATTTCCAAAACGTTTTGTAGATTCATAGTTCAATCACAGACTTTTACATACTGGGTTTCAATCTTTGGGGGCTTTGCAAGTAATTAATATACCTCATATTCCTGGTAGAATTTCTGAGTGGGTTTGCTTAAGGACTAAGCAGCTTGGAAACATTTAATAATGTCAAGTGCATCTCAAAGTTAGAAATAAGTCTCGGATTAAGTCCGTATTTTACCAGACATCTGGCTTATTGCAGTAGATGTAATATTAACCAACAAAGTCAACATTAGATCCTGGGAGCAAATTACATCAATTATTAGTTTTTGTTTCCAAAAGAGTTCATTGCGAGAGACTAAAAAAAAATAATTCAAAAAGAGATGAAGGGAAATGAACTAGAAAAAACTAATTGATTTGTCGGTACCTTTTTCCTCAGTAAGATTAATCTTTCATAAACTTAATAAGCTGTCTATGGAAAAATATATTAATATCTCTAAAAACTCATTAGGTATGTAATTGGGTAGAGTGTTATAAAAAAAAACCAAAATCTTCCACAAAAGCTGATAAATACTTAATTTCTACAGTGTGTAGCTTATTCCTTTTCTCATATTCTGAAAATAGATTCTGACAATTGCTTCTGTGTAATTTTTTAAACTTGTCAAATTAGGAATGTACAATAAATAAGCAGAAAAATAAGATATATACAGCCTTATTTGGATCTATATCTGTAGCATTTGGTAATTCTTTTTCATAATCTGATACGTTCTCTTTTTCTTTAAACACTTGATATGATGATCTCCTATGGGAAATAGTCAGTTTAGAAACGGAGTCATACTAATTTGGTGTTGATTGGATTTCTGGTTGGTGGACAGTTAATACAATGATGAAAAAAATGGCCCCAAGTTCATCAACCATGGAAGGCAATCTAAGAGAACAATAAAAAGGGGAGAAAAAAAATCAAATTTCAATATGGCACTGTAAGCTACAAATTACAGTTTGATTGGGAAATATCAGGAAGCTAGGCAGGGGTGATTGGTTTACTGTAAGTGTCAAGTTTACAGTTACACTGGGATATCAGATGTCTTGTTCCATTACGAGTCTCTCTTCCTGATGCTGGAAGTAAGGTGCTAGCTTACATATCATTGATTGCTCTTGGACTGTTAAGTGATTAATTAAACATCCACCTCTTATCACACGCTGATTAAACCTCCTATCAGAATAGACAATGCACTCATTAGCTGTGTATACATCCAACATGGTGCATTGTGTGTCTGTCATAAACTTTTGAAATTTTTAAGTTTTTATAGAATGTCTCTGAACCAATATCAACCAATTTGCATATAGCTTCTATAGGTAAAGGGGAACAAAACTTGGGATTTACATAGTCCTTACCTACTTGGGGCCTATTGAGAGTTTGGGCCAAAGCTATCGAAATAGCAATGTTCAAAAACTTCTGTACTCAAGGAGACCTATAGCAGGCCAACTTTTTGCATGATAATACCCCCCCCCCCCCCCTAAACAAAGTTTGTTCATGGTTGTTCTTGATGCAAAGGTGTGTAATGACCTTGACCCAAAATTATTATTGCAAGTTGAAGGTCACTGGCAGAAAAATTATAAATTTGTGTCTGGTCTACAACTCCCTAATGGAGAAACATTGAAAGTTCCTACCTTTCAATTTGTAAGATTGCTTACTACCTGAAGGTGTGTCATGATCTTGACCCAAGGTCGTTTGATCAAGTTCAAGGTCACTTTTACAAAAAATTTTAATTTATGTAGTAAGCATTTATACCCTTGGGTTGAGGGTTTAATTAGGCTCCAGGTTTGGTCAAGTTGAATGATTATATTTTAAAATTACATTCTTAAAAATCCACTTCTTTATTCATGAACATCTAGAACTGTTTGTATGATTTTAATTAAGGTTTAATCCTCAACAAAAATTGTTAAATTCATGGCCCCTTGGCCCATGATTCAGACCCCAGGGTGGGGCTAAGTCAGTCATGCAATGGGGATGTTATACAATACAGATACTGTTGAGTTCATGTTATACAATGCAATATATTCTAGATAAACACTGTGAAATGGCACACAAGTGTTAGAAGTCCTTGTTATGCAATTGCATGACTCTCAGTGTCCTTTAATAGATATGTTATAGATTTGGTTGACCAGGGGTGAACAAAAACATGCTGCATTATCTAATACCTGACACATCATGTTTAAAATAAATTCATTGATGAATGATAAACAACCAAGACTTGTGGTACTTGCATGTATTATTTCTTGTGTCATTTGGAGACTTTTTATTCAAGGCATGCTGTAAGTATTTTGATATACATTACAGGGGTTGAAATTTTCCTGGAAAACTCACTAGCCAAGGGGCTACTGATCAGTAGAAAAATTACTAACCCAAACCTCAAACTAAATAGCCCAACAACATTGTTTGTTTACTCAACTTTGATGTGATTAAAATGCTTTATCATGCAAATATATTCACTGACTTTCAAAATGCTTGTGATAGAAACAAACTAGATCTCATCAAAAGAAACCAGTCTACATAGAAAACGAAAGTAAAGTGACAATCTTTTTTCCCAGCCTGCTAGTCTGACGGACTATTGTTAGTTCTGTTACATTTAAATTAGCTAGCCTGATTCTTACAATGACCAGACCCGGATGTCGGGTTACTGAATATTTTAATCCCTGCATTAATTTTATAATATATCAATACGAAAATCCTTAATCTGATGAATGTTAACCTTGGCAAAAATAAGCCCCATACAATAGTTACTTTCCAAAGTTCTTACATATGAGAACTCATGTTCTAGTCTTAAACTAGAAAAAAAAAGGCAATTATGGTGAAACTTGTTATATTGACACCTCTTGCTTTCATGCCCAATCAATCTTGGACAAAAGATGGCAATATGTAAAGGCAGCACTGTAGATTGAAAGTATGTACATTACATTTATAAAAAATCTTTTTCATCACCTGTTGGCACTTAGCAGGCAAACATGTCCCTCTCCTTCAACCACCACGTTTTAAGTGATTGCATTGGAGGATGAATTGGGTTTGTGTGAAAAATGACTGACACAATTTGTCATACTGCCTCAACATCAAGTGTTAATTTTTGGAGTTGAACATTTACAATATATGCTCATAGACATCTCTTAAGGTTCTTGAACCATTAGCAAAGTAATTTAATTGTTCTCCCGTTACAACTTGTGGATGCTATTCCCTGAACTAGGTATGTTACCCAAAAGGCTATGAGCTACAGTCACACCTCTTTATCTCAAAACTTGATGGGACTGAGAAATAACTTCAAGAAATCCGAGGATATAGGAGATATCTGGGGTAAAATACTTAAAGAAAAAGTGGTTGGGACTTCCAAAACACTTTGACATATACATGGTATTCAAGATATCAGTGTTCGATATACTGAAGTTCAACTGTATATATTAAAAAGTATTCAAACTTAAGATGTTATAGCAAAATTAGTAAAATTTACTGACATATGCTTGCATGTAATAATCACAACACTCAAAATATGTAAACAGGAAATCATTCCTCTAGGTTGGTGAGACCAATCCACACTCTCCCAAACTAATTCAGTAACAGTTGTATTTTGTATAAAGAAAAAATACTGTCATAAAGTTTTAAGAAATTTGTTTAGCCATGCCTAATGTTACAGATTATATCAATACACTGTTAAAGTTGTCAAGAAAAGGACAAATTGAAGGAAGTGAAGGAAGGATTTATATTGTATAGAACTTCAGAGAGTTGCTTATCCACGATCAAAGCCTATCTGTACGTTATCGTGTTTTATGAGATTGTTTGAACTGACTTATAAAATATATTAAAGGACTTATCGCATGATTTTTCAAAAATCTTAATTTTATGAAAAATATTATCTACAACCTTGTTTATTAAAATTCTGAATACAATAAACGTTGTTGGAAGCATATTTTAAGAGATATTGAGAGCTGAAATTCAAATACGGCAATATGCATATTTCAGTCGGATTTCGGCGAAATACTGCTCTGACGTCATAGGCGACAATTCAGTGATAGAGAGATGAGAAGTTGCACACTATTTACGAAGTTATCAACGACAAATGCAGCTTCATTATGAAAAATGTTGAAAAAATTAATTCCTAACGTGATTTTCAATAACTATAGAAACATTAACTAGTTCTAAGGTGTAAGAATTTTGAGATATTTTCGTTTTTTATTCCAAACATTTAGAATCTGTAGGTCTGATTACGGCAATGTTTCGTGATCGGAAAATTATTTTTCAAAACCGCCATCCTTTACAAAACATATGAAAGCATACTTGCATAAATTAATGTTATGTTAAAAACGAAGAATAACAAAGTTATGTAATATTAAATTTGTCAATCAAATGAGTTAATACATGTGATAAAATGACAAATCAAATTGTATCTGTGTATTGTGATGGCGAGTTTCTTCGTCTTCGCTGCGTCTCCCTCGCTATCGTCGCTGCTATTTTTCCAATGTTAACGGATTTTTCAGATTACTTCTTGCTGACAATTCGAAAATATAAGGTTGGATATTAAAATTCATATCGATAAAATCAGTAATTTGGTTGTCCATAACGCAGAAAATTCAGGTTGTATCGTGTATATTTTAGTAAGATTACGTGAAGAGCTGGTCAGCCATTGTCGCCTTTGACGTCACAGGGTCACGTGATCGCTATCTAATTAACTTAGATTTTTAATTCAGGGGTTTTCATTTGAGTCATTAATTGGTTAATTACCGCGGTTTATCCGCAGTAAAAACACAAAATTTATAAACTGTGGTCATAAGGAACGTTTTACGCTTTTAACTTCAAATAATTTAGAAACATGCGATAAGTCCTTTAAGGTAAAGGAAGAAAAAGGTTTCTTTAAATAGTGAAAAGTTGTGATTTGATAAGAGTTTCTTGCTCAGGAAACAATTCTATGAATGTTGCTTTCCCATGTGATGATCCCTAAAGTGTTCTTTTGTTAAAATGATTTCAGATTTCTTTATACTCCCTCTTATTGCAAGACCAGTTAAAGGAAAAATTATTATCAACAGCTTTAACTAAATAGAAACAGTTTACAATATTTAAAGAACAAACCTGTTGGTATTGTTGTCACAATTAAATATTTGATTTAAATTAATACCTGTTAATTGGTGCCTAGGACTACGTTCTTACACAATGTAGCATACAAATGGTAATTTGCAGTTCATACATGATATAGTATGTCCTCATATAATTTGATACTTATTTTAGGATAATATTAATTGATTATAGGATATGGATTTGCAAATGACTTCTTTTGGAAGTAGTAAATACGTCATTAACAATTCAATATTAATAGCAGAGAACATCCCTACAACGGAATGCTATGGTATCCTCAGATGATACGAAAGTCATTGATTTTTTTTTTGTATGGAATATTGTGACTGAGCTTTGTCTGAGAGATGCTAGGTATGGTACTCTTATTTATTTTAAGGCACCTTCGTTTCTTTTTCCATCGTGTTACTTTGTCTAGCTTTTGTTACCTGGATTTGCCTTCAATGTAACCTTGCAATTGAGCTCCATTAGTCACTTTCGATGAATGGGCAGTTGCATTTAGTGATAAGAGTTTTTGTGGAGGTTGTTTGATCTAAGTTTTTAAAGTGCACTTTAATAAAAGTGTTCAATCATGCTGCACTTAAATTCAAGAGTTTACAGTAATGGAGAGACTTGGACTGATATGTTTTTTCTTCAGCAATGCATCACTTTTTACAGGAAATGGGTTTCCTATTCCTACACAAAAGGGGAAGATGAACAGAAAGGATTATTTTAAATGACTAATTTTTATGATGTGTCAAGAGAAGACAACTCTGTGATCAAGCATTTTTCTGACCCTAACATGAGGAATTGCTCACCCCTGCTAAATCTGAGGGAGGATAAACATTTCTTGCTGTGTAGACAATGAGGCAAAGTCTTGTGGTATGTAAAGTGTACATATAAACCATTATTTTTAGGAAATTGTTCATTAGTTTGATGTATAATCAAGTCAAAAATCAAAAAAAGTTATACTAAGCAGTATTTAATTGTATGTGGGTTTTTTTTTCATATTTTACTGTCAAATTCATAATTCTGTGTGCAGTTAAATTACATTCATTTATTAAGAATCAGAAAAACTCAGAAGCCAAACGTGGTTACCGTACTCTTCCTAATATGAACCCTGCAAGTCCATATAACATCCCATCCCACTCATTTTTAATCTGAGAAATTGAGGTGTGTCCTAGGTGTAAAAGGTTAAAGTTCACATGAGTATTGTTTAAATATTTTAATCAGGTTAATTGTTTGAAAATTTTGCTGGTTACTGAGAAAGAAATGCCTATGCAAAATGAGTACACTAATCATTCTGTTTTAGTGTAAATCGGTTTTATAATTATGTGAAGACAGATGCAAAGTACAGTGCCCTGATACATTTCCCATAGGCAATTGATATTAATTATGATTTCTACTTTTTTCCTAATTTTCATTGAACAATGAAGTAACTAAATGTGAAATATATTGTAAAATTTGTTTTCGGGCAAAAAGTACATTCTAAAAATAAAAGTAGGGAGTTTTGTGTTATGGAAAAAAAACACTTGTGAAAATATCAATTTTATTCAATGGATAATTAGATTAGACTGAAAACAGAGATATCAAACAGGAAGTTAAAAATCTGATTGGCACTGTGTAAACTTTAAATGTAAATTTACTGCATACACATTTTATTAAGACACAACATTTAGTCCCAGAAAAACATTACCATGTTTGATATAGTTTAAAGATGGAAGTAAATATTGAAGGCAATATATCACATTATTTGACCTGTAAGTTATGTACTTTAACATATTTAATCTGTAGACTTTAGTCAATATAAACAACATAGGATACTGAAGGAGATGTTGATTCAGAGAAAGTATATTAGCCAACTTAACAATTAGATTAGGCAGTTTATTTAAAGCTTATTGTTTGAATATTGTCATCACAAAATGAATTAGCTCAATTCTTCAGAAAAACTAATAAATTGTGTAATAGAGAGAAAGAGAGGGGCTGTACAGGGTATACGTGTGTATTATGTTGATGACACTGTTGTTTTATTTGGTCTATTTCTGTGGATCATATTTAGGACGTATCAGGGTAAGGTACATCTCGGGAAAAAAAAATCTGATTAAAGCTTTGTTTTCAAGCACCTACTACTCGGATGAGGTGTACAGTTCTAGATTGATTATGCTGCAGTGTGATACGTGTATTTAATACATAAGATAAAATAACGGATGACTGTTACCAAGTATGTAATATTTGAGGAATCGTGAAAATAATTGATCGTTGAAAAATTATATAATTCTTTAAAAAAGAAATATAATATGTAAACACTGTTAGTAATGACAACACCAAAGGGAAGTGATTTTTTTATAGGGACAGGATGTTCAATTTTCCTGGTGACCTCATACTTTGCAAAGCATATAATATAGTGTAGATATTTTTAATTTAATGTCAATATTTATTAATATTTCCTTCTATAAAAGCTTGGTAAATATTCTTTTACTGGATGATGTTGTATGCATTGGGAACCATGATATAGAGTTGTGATGCAATTATCATGAATTATAAGTTGTGAATTAATAATGTGCAAAAAGACTACAGGATCAATAGTATCGTTTTGTGACAACAGGTATGTAGATATAACAGTCTCCGTCAAACAGGTCCATACCATTGGACAGCAGGTATAGGGAGAGGAGTATATTGGAAATATCACTGCATGGATTCCGAATTATCGGGGATGACTTCTAAAAATTTGTGTATCTTTTACAAGTGATTTTTTTTTAAACGGGTATGTTTTCACGATCCTAGTATCAAAATGCAGGTTTTGTAGTTTCATCCATGTTTTCTGAAATAAGTAAAATATGTAAAATAGAAACTTTATTGTTTTATCTTGGCTTATAATTCCTAGTTTAGAAGTCGGAAGTCAATTAAAATTTGTAGCTATACTGGACCTTTAATATTTGAGGCAAAGAAAAATTTAAAAAGTCTGAGAAAAATTATTTTGAAAGTATAGTTTGTATTTCTAGGTTTTTATGTTAAAGTCGTTCACTGTTGTGTCATAACTGTACCAAGCTTTTTTTGTTTTTTATTACAAAAAGAAGGTTCAAAGTTATGCTTCATTACAAAGTCAATTATTATTGTTCTTTGCTGATGTGTATAAATTCAGTGTACCATATTGGAAGATTTTCAAAATCTTTGTTGAATATTAAAGTGGCTCCTCTTATAGATTTCTTTCCAAGTACCGGTAAATGTTAAAACTCATCAATTCCAAAAATCACCAGTAAATGTGTTGAAGTAAAATAACAAGAGCAGGAAGTATAATAATTGTTTTAGTCATTCTTTGTTCAAAATTTATATTTTATTTTGTTTTTTAAAATGAGGGATACAGACTCTTTATTGGAGTGGATGTGTGACAGTGCCTTCACAGCTGTATTGATTTTACACTAATTGACAGTATTTGTCTTTTTTATTCCAGCAAACGTGAATACATGTTGGAATGGGAAGAAGAGGATGGCCTTATCGAATTTATTTCCTGATAATGTGCATGTTCTACATGTTAATGGTTTTTGTTTTCCATGGCCAACTTCAGCTGGAAATCCTTCAGAACAAGCAAATTAAAGGCATTGTAAGACATGTTCATTCAGCCCTGCTCAAATTTAATGCTAGTTCTGTTGAAGCAAATGGATTGAGAAGGGATTTATCTCACTTTCAGGTCCATAGTGAGTCATTCTATAGAGGACCAGCAGGGCCTCTGAGTGATGATTGCTTCATTTCTCCAAAGAATATGGAATACAAATTCCAGACAGTGCTTCCCAATGTTCTGTATATTTACTCAGCCTACTTGGATGAAAGAACTAGTCAAGCTTATGTTAGGGTTATGGCCATTCTTGCCAGAAAGAAAAAGGACAAGGTTGAAGTAACATGCCATTTTGGTGACGAAGAAGGAGCTAATATCAGTGCTGTTGTGTATGAAATGTGTGAAAACCACAACAAAATGATGGGTGGATACATCTTATCTTTCCCAGTGGATAGAGGGTTAAAACCATGCCATGTTATAATTAAGGCCAAGGAATCAGGTTCAGATGAGGTGAGGACAGTGTCTGTTAATGTAACCAAGATCTCTCCGAACTCCACACAGTACAGTTACGGTGTATGTATTCCGCCTCTCTTTGGAGAAGTAGATAAAGGAAGGCTTGTGGAATTCATCGAATTAAATCAATTACTTGGTGCTCAGCATTTCATTTTTTATGATTTTCACATATCAAAAAATGAGACTAGAAAACTTCTTCAGTATTACAGGGAGCGGGGTTTAGTGACTGTTATACCATGGGTGATACCGGGGGAGATTAAGGAATCCTCGCTATGGTACCACGGCCAGTTACTGGCCCATAATGACTGCATGTTCCGAGCAATGAGTCTCTTTAATTTTATGGTGCTACAAGACATCGATGAATATGTTGTGCCACACACTTCTCATAAACTCTGGTCTGAAGCTTTGTCAGATTTATTCCAAGACAGAGTTGTGGGGCTTAGCTTTCACAGTGCTTTCTTTGACCCTGGGGACTCAAAAGACCTCGTGACAATGAAACAATTTTCAAGAACAGCCATGTACAGTAAAGTAAGAACCAAAGTCATGATAATGCCATCAAAGATATTTGAAGTTGGAATTCATCATGTTAGCAAACCATTAGGGGAGGATTTAACCATTAAAACAGTGGATACCAAAGTAGCCAATCTACATCACTATAGAAAGTGTGTCAAAAATTACGGCATGAAATGTGATAAATTTGAAGATGACAAAACAATGCTCAAATATTCAAGTGTGCTAAAAAATAGATTTATATATATTATGAATCTAACGTTAATATGATTCCCAGAATTACCTAGGTTAATAATTTATGGTATTATTATTCTCTAAATTATTTATTTTTTCACTTGTAAAATCAATGTACAATAACTGTAATTATAAATTTGACAATATGAAGCTTGTTTTGTGATTAATTTTGACATAATATAAATAACATTATGCCATTTTTTTTTTTCCTACTGTAATTACTGTAGATCACTTTTTATTCATGAGAACTTTATTTTCGCGTAATTACGCAAGGCTGCCTGCTCGCAAAAATTTTATTCTCGCATATATTTGTAGTACAAAAGATTATATAGAACTCAATGGCCCTGAGTGCCGAGCATAGGTCAAAATTTGTAGCCCTCCACCGGCAAGTGGTGGCATCTCCATATGAGGGAAAAATTCTCGAGAGGGACGTTAAACAATAAAACAAACAAACAAACAAAAAGAACAATAACCAGAGTTTGTGAAAATTATGTCTCGCTTATATATACCAAAAAATGAGAATCTCGCGAAATTAAAGGGTACACAATGATTTGGTGATCGACAGTAAATGACATATATTTCGTGTGATTAAATTGTTTCTGAAGACAGTAACATTGCATATTTTGAGTATACCTACCTTTTTGGTACAGTATGTCATTTTTTCTCTACAGGGAAACTAGAGTTTCTTAGATAATCTGTAAACATTTGAGACTTTCCATGATACGAAAGCATCTTATATTCTAGAAAAATTAAGGAATGACAAAGATCAATGATAAGCTACTGTTATAACAGTAGTGTTGAAGGACAATAAATTTTGTTTAGTTTGTGGATTAGGTTTTCCCAGGAAATTAAATCTCTAACTATAGTTTTACCCTGGAGTTGTACACTATAATATCAGTGTTCATTATTTATCAGCTATTAGAAATAAAATCCCCATGCATAATATATATTGATGATATCATGTTTATGTACCTTAAATGATTTCGATTTCTTTATTTCTTTAAGATCAAGAATAGATGGTTGATGAGATTTAGACGATTCTATTGATTGCAGGTGTAATAAAACATAAATCACCTGAAATTCATAATGAACTTAGTGTAAATCATTGGGTTTATTCATCATAAAAAATATTGATAAAACAGTGAATGTTTCTTTTTCTTTGTTTTTTATTGTTTGTCTTTTTTTTATACTCATGGTGATTTACAATAGAATGCGAAAATTTAATCATTTCCTTGCACAGTGCTTTTTTCACATTTTCCGACTTCAGTATTGATTTTTTTAAGAATACGAAATCAGATATTCAAACTTTCTCCAGCTAAATTCATTTAACTTTACTTCTTTAATTGTCACGCTTTGACTTTTAGTAGGTAGGTTTGTTGATGTGTAGGCTAGATTATTTAAGAAGACCGGATTGGCATTTTATTATTTATTTATTTATTTTTTGTTTGTTTGTCAAAATCAATTTTTAAGCCACAAATTTTGAACTATAAAGGAAGTATTTTTTTATTCATTGAAGGTCAAGGCTGTAAATGTATTATATTAAGTGTGTACGATATTTGGTGGAAATTTATTTTTGATCAAGTTCGTGTAGATTTGATTTAGCTCATTTCTTAACGTTCTTATTTATGTATATGTATGTACAAGACATTAAGTGTTGTACTTGATTTAGAGGGAGTTGCTTACTGCCAAAGGTGCTAAAAAGAATACACAGCCAAATGTTATATGTTTACAGTATGTGAAATGTCAAGGTCATACTTAAGCTATAGAGATCATAAGTCAATTTTTTTTGTGCTATGTGGGCTAGTTATAAGTTGAATATTTTGCAGTGAAAATCTCTTTCTAAAATTTCATGTATAAATCATTTTCGTGATTTTTCTGATTGTTGAGATTAGTCCCATGTGTTATCTGAATTTATTTTGTTGATTAAAATTTAATGAAAAGATTTGAACTAGTTTTCTTGTGTGGTTGGTACCCAGTACACAATGAAACTCAGAAAAACTGAAGTCTGAGTCAAAGTGAAGTGTTGCCATAGCCCATTGTTTAATCACTTCAAATAAGTTAACAAATGAAAGAACTCCTTCACTTAGAAAACTTTTTTTTAGCTCACCTGAGCCGAAGGCTCAAGTGAGCTTTTCTGATCAAGGAGTGTCCGGAGTCCGTCTGTCGTCTGTAGTCTGTAAACTTTTCACATTCTCTTCTCAAGAACCACTGGGCCAATTTCAACCAGACTTGCCATAAAGCATCCTTGGGTGAAGGGGATTTAAGTTTGTTCACAGGAAGTACCGCGCCTTCTTTCAAGGGGAGATAATTAAGAATTCGTGAAAATTTGGTGGCATCTTTTAAAAATCTTCTTCTCAGGAACCACTGGGCAAAAAAAGATGAAACTTATGTGAAAGCTTCACTACATACTGTAGATTCAAATTTTTTCATATCATGACCCCTGGGGGTAGGGCAGGGCCGCAAGTGGGGGTCGAAGTTTTACATAGGAATATATAGGAAATGTCTTTAAAAATCTTCTTCTCTAGAACAGCAAAGCCATGAAAAGTCATAACAGAAGTATCCTCAGGTAGTGTAGATTCAAGTTTGTTCCAATCATGACCCCTGGGGGTAGGGCGGGGCCAAAACAGGGGGTCAAAGTTCACCAAAGAAATATGTAGGAAATACCTTTAAAATTCTTCTTCTCAAGAACAGGTGAGCCATTATTAGTCATATTAATGCAGAAGTATCCTCAGGTAGTGTAGATTCAAGATTATTCGAATCATGACCCCCAGGGATAGGGTGGGGCCACAACAGTGGGTCAAAGTTTTACATAGGAATATATAGGTGTAATGGTTAAGGGGCAATTAAATTAATTCTTCAGCAGTTACACATGTGTACAAATTAGTTGACTAATTATGTAAATCCTCCTCCAAGAAGACTATGGTAAGTACATGCAGTCCTTTAATGGTAAATTTTGTCCCCTAACTTGTCACATTTCAGTGACAAAGTCAAGTACATCAGCCGAAGGTAAGGTTACGACAGGGATTTAAACTGATATAAGTAGAGATATCTATCTGCATCATCCTTGTTTTAAAAATCTACAGTTAACAAATGTCCTTATGTAACTTAAGTTACTAAATCATCACTAGGAGGAGAAAACTAAGAAAAAGACATATATGAATTTGGAGTCATTTTGTTAAAGGTCAGGATTTAAGGACAATTTAAACATCAAAACGTGTTTTGAAAATTAAGATCTTGTGTAGTTTAACACTATAAATGATATTTTTCAATGATAACAATATAATTTGTAATGTCAATTTTCACAATATAATACTTCATGTTTTAGAAAAAGCACACACCTTTAAATAAATACCATTTGAAACAGGAAAATATATGCTACAAGTTCATACTTATGGGTACTAGGCCATCTACAAGTGTGTATGTGTGTACATACTTCCACTAACTGATCATTAGCAAAACTGGTGATATGTACCTAAAAGAAAGATTTCCTAGTGGGGGGGGATCCCCTGCTACATGTACAAGTATATAGTATGTGTATTGTCACTACGCCTCTCTAATATCTGAGTGTGGCATCTAAATTCATTCAAGAACTCATCACATATCAGTTAGTGATCCTTCTGCTGCTAGGGGTCTCAAAGGAATATCATGTCAGTACTGTTAATGTGGAAATTTACACATAGCGGTGATTAAATACACCAAATATGCAATATATATCCCTTGTATGTTAACACCTTTTAACATATTTTATTTAGTTTTAGTGTTATATAATTTAGTTATCACAGAAATAACCCCTATTGTCAACTGAGGCACATAATTAACACCACATTTACAGTATATTTAATTAGAGGTATAGGATCAAATCATGATATTACAGCTAGATTATAAATTTGTTTTCTTTTGTCACCTTGTACATTTACTTATATTATATTTTCATGTAAATTAGTTGAATCTGATTCATTAATTGAGAAACATTTGTTTAAAAACACTATTACCCTCTAAATGATGGAAGCAAGCCCTCTAGAGTAGCAACAGTCAACATTGCTTGATGATCGATGGGTGATATTCCAAAAAATATTGAATTTATGTGCATGCGTATGGTTCAGTCTATATTCATTTTAGGGATGGCAATTTTTAACCGGTTAACCGATTAATCGGTCGGAACGATGGTAATCGGTTAGGAAATCTGCAATCGGTTAGTCGGAAAAAAAATTAAAATATGTGAAAATTTCATTGAAATTCAGTTTGCAATTTAAAAAAAGCTATGAATGTTGAAAAGTCATAACGTATTCACTAATTTTGAGATAATTAATGAAGACTCGGGATTGAGGTGTTTGGGTAATTGGTCAATTGGTGAAGTGTAAATTGCTGTTTAAACATCCTGTCATTACCCAGCCTGTCCTATATTTCGTTTATGATATTAATTAAGTCACCGTGGAGCATTGTGAACTTATTACATTGTGTATCTTTTGATGTTATTTCTGCCAGATTATATTTTTATACAAACATTATAAATTCAATGATAGTTCAGTATAATATAATAAATACAGCCTGTAGTTGAGGGTAACATTGAACATTTTCACCCCTCGAAAACCATTGTCAACCTCTACTGTGCCTCGGTTGACAATGGTTTTCTTTGGGTGAAAATTTTCAATGTTATCCTCAACTACATGCAGTACATGTATTTATATAATATTAGGGTTATTTATATTTTTGGAACTGTTGATGTAATCACACAATAAATCACAGTTAAGGAAATCTTCCAAGGCATCTGTGTTATTTCAAGTATAAATAACAACATTTTATATTGCACATTATAGTCATATTATCCATTAACATATGGTATATATTGATGGAGCAAATTATGGAACAAATTTGTAATTGCACTAAAAATTCAAGGCATTGTTTTAAATTTTACTGAAAACCATGACAATGCATGTTGGCAACATTTTTTCTTATTTCGTATAGATTTAAAATGAGAACCTCTGTTTATTTGAACTTTCAGATGGAAAATATCATATCAGGTATCAAAGACACAAACCTGAAGCTAACACTGGCATTTGGAATTGGTCTACATCATGCTGGCTTGATAGAACGAGACAGAAAAGTCTGTGAAGAGCTCTTTGTCAATCAGAAAATACAGGTAGGTTTATAAACTGTTGGGAGACTCATTACATCTCTGTCATTCTCTGGTAGATCTATGGTCTCAAGGTTACTGACATGTAACTCCTACACAAAATCTGAAGAAAAGGAAAATCTGTGATTTCCATCTTCATTGTTACTGTAAAAGCAGAAATTTTCGTTGGGGATTAAATTTCGTTTATTTCGTTGTTAACAATTATCAACAAAATTGAATCCCACAGGAAATTTTATATTACTATATATCAAATAAAGTAACTTTCAAAACAATGAAATTTAATGCCAACGAAACCTTTTTAGATGACAATTCAACGAAATTTTATCCCCACAAAAATTTGTGCTTCTACAGTATATCTCCTGCAAACAGTGTACAAAGGTATATTAATTCACCATACATGTCTGTCTGTCTGTCTGTAGACTCTTCACACTTTTGACTTCTTCTCTAGTATCACTGGACCAATTTCAACCAAACTTGGCACAATTAGCATCCTCGGGTAAAGGGAATATAAGTTTGTTCAAATGAACAGTACCTTTTTCAAGAGGAGGTAATAAAGCATTATTGAAAATTTTATGGCAACTTTTAAAAATCTCATTAAGAACCATTGGTCAAGAAAAGATGAAACTTATGTGAAAGCTTTCTTTTTTTGCTTATTTTTCTACATTCTCCACATACACCTGTGCTAAACATAGCACCACATGACTTTTGATGCAAAAGGGGAGTTAATCTAAAACTTATACCATGCTCAATTCCTTTTGTTTTTATTTAGTAAAAAATTATAAATACTTTTGATAACACAGAACCAAAATAAAAAACAATGAGTTGGACTCTGAGAGGGGTGGGCAGGGATGAGAATCTAAGGCAACAGGCAGAAATATTAGCACCACTAAATTTCGACGATATTGTATAAGGATTTGTAGAATTAGAAATCTATATTCTCCATCCTAAATCAACTTCACATATTGCTTTCAAGCCAGTTTGAAGAAAGCATGATAGAGGAAAGGGGAAAAGCATTAGTGGAGTACTTGCAAAGTGAAAGAAAATCAGTGATAGATACAGTTGAACTTCGGTATCTCGAACAAGGATATCTTGAATACCATGGATATGTTGAAGTGATTGGGAAGTCCCAAACACGCATTTCTTAAGTATTTTACCCTCGATATCTCAAACCCTTGGATATCCTGAAGTTTTTTCTCGGTCCCATCGAGTTGGAGCTAACGAGGTTTTTTGACTGTATTTTGATTTACCACTTATTCTTCATTTTCGATCCTCAACACTATTTTCAGCACTTAGCTTGGATAAGGAGAGTTTATGCTTAACATGACTAAAGGTTAAAGTTTTTAAGCCAAACTTATTTTTGGGTGATACATCTTCAGTGCACTCTATGAGACTTAGTTTGAATGACCCCCACTAAAAACATTGTAATGATGAAATAAGTAAATCCATCCTAAATTGAACATGTGTTTGTTAGAAGTCTTTGTCTCACTTAAAGATGTTTTTTGTTGAGCTTACTTGTATAGTCTTTGAATTCTTTTTTTTTTTTGTATAAGACATTTAGTGTTAGATCAATCTAAAATTGATATCAAGAGTACCTCAAGAACTTTCAGTCCTCATCTTTGTCATATAAATACTGCATGGCCAGAGAGAGAAGTCTTTTGATTAGAAGACATTTGCAAAATGGACAGGGCTAAAGCAATAAATTTTGTAATCCACAGACAGATTAAGAAGTCTGTGAGTTTTGAAGAGTCTTGGTCATGTTGTAGTAAATAAGGCATTTTTAAAGGTAATTGTGGTGCTGAAGAAACAGTACTCTCAGATAATTTGTATTGTGATTTTATGCCTCATTTGGAGGTGTATTTTTTTGTATTCATTCATTTTTCATTTCCTAGGTCTTCCCAAGTCTCTGTCAGTTTTTGTTGATTGAAGACTTGTCTTGTAAGAGAACTTCAGAGCTAGTTCAGGGAATGTCTTCTGTCTTGGAGATAGAATAAATACTCCAAGAGCCGTGTAACAGAAATGATTAATGTCCACCAAAGGTCAATGCTTGTTGTTTGGTCTCACATCTCCACAATGATGTTCTCAAGAGTCTGACAAAATCAATCATAGATAATGGAATACATCAAGTTTTCTGGTCTGTAAATTACAAAAGTTAAGCAAATAACATCAACTAATTTAATTGGTGTGTTATATTCTTGCTTTGTCTAACTTGTCAATAGAACCTGGCCTGACTTAAGTAATATTTGTTTTAAAAACTTTTTAAAAGTTTTTTGTAGCTCAAGGGAGCTTTTCTGATTGAAATTTTTTGTCTGTCTGTTGATCTTTCTATTAATTTTTCACATTTTCAACTTCTCCAGTATCACTGGACCAATTTCAACCAGACTTAGCATATTAAAGCATCCTTGGGTGAAGGGAATTCAAGTTTTTTTCAAATGATGGGCCACACCTTGTTGAAAGGGGAGATAATCAGGAAAATGCAAAATTTGTGTGAATGTCTTTAAAAATCTTCTCAAGAACCACTGGGCCAGAAAAAATAACATTAGCCAATATACTCGCCTATAATTGAATTTTTGGGAGTTAAATTTTGATCCAAAACTCATGTCCGACTTATAAACGAGTCCTAGAAAATTGGATATTTTTTCTGGAAGAGGAAATATATTAATTTTGCAACAACTCTAATGAAAATCATTCATAAATGTCGGATTTTATTCTAATGCAGGAAAAGGAAAATCTTAGGTTACCACATGCAAATAACACAAGTGCTTACAGATTTAAATTATCTTATTTTTGTTTAAATTGTTAGTAAAAGATCAAATATCAATGTCATACCCCAAATATACTTTGAAACACAGGTTAGTACAATAGAATATTAATTTGAAATTGGCTGCAGATTCTGGCAAAAAAAACACACCAACTTAAAAGTGGGTCAATGGCAAATTCCTCCAAAATAATCTGGAAAAATGCAACTTATAAGCAAATTAACTTGGTAGATAAGGTAAGTAAAAACTTTCTGACAAAGGGTAGATTCAAGTTTGTTCAAATCATGGCCTCTGGGGGTAGAGTGAGGCCACAATAGGAGATCAAAGTTTTACATAGGAATATATAGGGAAAAACTCTTCTCAAGTATAGCAGGGCCATGATTAGTGATATTACAATGCAAGAATCCTGAGATAGTGTAGCTTCAAGTTTGTTCAAATCAAGACCCTGGGGGATAGGGTGGGGCCACTTGTCTCTTGAACAGCAGGGCCAAGGTGACTCAGGTGAGTGTTGTGGCCCGTGGGCCTCTTGGTTTTGTTTTGTTTTGATTTGTTTCGTTTTGCTTTTTGGATTTTTTTGTTGTTGTTGTTGTTAAAAGGCTCTAAGGTTTTGTTAATTCAAGTTTGTTCATATTACAGATTCTGGGGTCATGGTGGGGTCAAAATTGGGGATCAAATTTTACATAATACATGTAATACAAAATATTTTAAAAATCTTCTTCTCTAGAATAGCAAGACCATGTTAGTGATATTAATATTCAGAATCCCCATGTAGTGTGGATTCAAGATTTGGGTTAGGGTGGAGTCACATTATGGGGTGAAAATTTTTCATAGGAATTAATATAGAGGGAAAACATTTTAAAAACAATCCTGTAAGAACAACAGGGCCAAGGTGACAGAAAAGCATTGGGGCTTTTGGGCCTAGTGTTATAATTACCAGTATTGTTAGTTTTAAGTAAAGATATTCAGGATTTTTTTCTTTAAAAAAGGGTTTTGTCTGTCATCGATTTAAGATTTCTGGTTGTAGTCCAGGAAATCTTGACTTTGTATATGGATTAGTATTCAAGTATCATTGTCTGATTTTTGCTATATATCATTTAGAAAAATTGTTAGTTATTGGAAATTGAATGTCTAATAGACTTTATTTTAACATGAAAATACAATAATTGTGAATATTATACTTTCATGTAAATTAGTTGAATCTGATTCGTCGAGAAACACTTGTTAAAAAACACTATTACCCTTTGAATGATGAAACCACACCCTCCAGCATAGCAACAGCCACATTGCTCGATGACGGGTGATATTCCCAAAAAATATTAACTGCGCAGAATTTATGCGTGCACGGTTCAGTGTTACATGTATTTGTATAAAACATTCAATATAATATAATAGATACAGCATGTAGTTGAGTGTAGCATTGGAAACTTTCACCCCTCGAAAAACCATTGTCAACCTCAGCTGTGCCTCTGTTGACAGTGGTTTTCTTGGAGTGAACATTTTCAATGTTACCCTCAACTACATTCAGTATTTATACATGTATATTACATTGTTGAATATGCATGAATTTAAAGTTACCTTCTATCCATCACTAAAAGAAACCTCATTATGTGACTTATAATGTTGTAGGTTTTGATAGCCACCAGTACCTTAGCTTGGGGTGTTAACTTCCCAGCTCACCTAGTGGTTGTCAAAGGAACAGAATACTTTGATGGAAAGACTCGTCGCTATGTGGATTTTCCAATTACAGGTATTGACGATGCTGTAGAATTAATACTTGCTATATTGTATGCAATGAACATTCAATATAGCAATTCTTAATTTGAAAAAGCTTATGAGGCCAAGGTTAAAAAATTCTTTGTTTGCAGTTACCGACCTATAAATTTTAGAGTGGGTTGGTAGGTAGGTATTTCTATTTTCTTTTTTCTTTTTTTTGGAAAAAAAATTGTAGTTTTCAGATTTTTCTTAACAAAAGTAGGCTTACTAAACATAAATAAGTTCTACTTGTTAAAACTAACCACTGATTGATTAAAAAAAAAAAAACAAAACAAAAAATCAAATATAGAAAATGAAACAGTTTCAATATTCTGAAAGTTTGAAACTTTAAAAAAAAAAAAAAAATAACTGAAAAAAGTTTGAGTCGGGAGCATTTATGGTGGGTCGGTAGGCAACTGCAAACAAACAAATTTTTATTTTAGGCCTATTTCAGGAAATCTCATACATAAAAACCTGACACTAATTTGCTGTCATATGTGCAAAGAATTAACTTTCTGAATTTTATAAATGTACGATATTCTTATATTATTTGTGATGTATGATAGATGTGCTCCAGATGATGGGTCGAGCAGGTCGGCCTCAGTTTGATGACCAAGGAGTAGCCATGATTCTGGTACATGACATCAAGAAACATTTCTACAAGCGATTCCTCTACGAACCATTTCCTGTGGAGTCAAAGTAAGTCTGAACAAAGAGAGGTAACTCTGTGTAGAGGATAGAAAAAAAAGTTGGGATAACTCCGTCATCTTTAATCTATGATTGATCAATTAATACAGTTTGGGAAAATTTTAAAGTGGAAAAATTTTTAAAGAAAAGGTCATATATTGCACATATGATAATGGTCTATTGTGATTCTTGATAGGTTATAAATTAGTAGTTGGGTGTAGGGTTTTAACTGAACATGTCAGAGTCTCATAAAAAAAGTCTCCCAACATTTGTGACATCTTAAAAAATCCTTGATAAGCTGAAGTTGTTAAATGTTTTATTAAAAGTGATGTAATTGAAGATAGTGAATCCTTATCATGAAATCCATGTTTTCTTTTGTAGTCTGTTGGAGGTACTCCCTGATCACATGAATGCTGAGATTATAGCGGGAACAGTAACATCTAAACAAGACGCTATGGACTACATCACATGGACGTACTTCTTCAGACGTCTAGTGCAGAATCCTACGTAAGTAGCACATTCACATCGTAAATTCTTAACCCTTACCATATTTTTACAAGTGCTTCTAAATGGCTTTTCATTTATAGCTACCTGTATTTAAAGCTCTCTTCTGGCCAGAATTTAATAAGTATTTCTTTTTTTTTCATATCTAAAACTTTGCATGAAGTAAGTCATCCCTAAGGAAAACAAATGGAAATTTGTATTTTTAGCTCACCTGAGCTGAAAGCTCAAGTGAGCTTTTCTGATCACATTTTAACCAGCATCTTTCTGTAAACTTTTCAGATTTTTAACTTCTTTTCAAGAATGGCAAAGGCTTGACTAGTGATATTGATATTGAAGCATTCTTCGGTAATGTAGATTAAAGTTTGTACAAATCATGACCTCCGGGGGTAGGATGGGGACACAATGGACAATCAAAGTTTTACATAGAAATATATAAGAAAAAAATCTTCTTCTCAAGAATTGCAAAGACATGATTCATTAGTGAAATTGATATGGACCCATCCTAAGGTAATGTAGATTAAATCATGGGGGTAGGGTGGGACCATAATGGGCAATCAAAGTTTTACATAGGAATATATAGGGGAAAAAAGTGCTGATGAAAAACAGCAGGAGCGAAGTGACTCGGGTGAGCTTTGTGACTCATGGGCCTCTTGTCATACATCTTTTAAGAGTTTGAAATACTTTCAAACTAAAAATAGATTATTTCAGTTAACCAATATATTTTTTTATTATCATCATTAGGAGCTTAGTAATGTTTTTATTATGAGGAAATGTTGACCAAATCATTATTTACGTGGGCACCGTTGGTTAACTGCATATCTAATTTTTACTCTCCTCAAAATTTATTTTCTCCATAAAGGCATATACTGGTCACTAGTTTGATTTTGAGGACACTTTGTATTTTGGGTTTTTATTCATGTCCTGCAAGACTATCATTGCTCAAAGGTCTGGAATTTATCTGGAATTTTCTCAAACAAAAACACATATATTGACTCAAAAATGTGCATATTAAAATTCAGATTTCATTAATTTATACTTTGATCTAAGAGTAAATTGCTCTAGCTAACTTCAAAGTAAGGATTTATTAAATCAGGTCTGTTTACTCAATGGTACAACTAAATATATATCCTGCCGCATCAAAATTGAAATAGATTTTAAGGAATCTTTAGTCTTTAAATCTATAGGCACATTGAATGATAGAAAGAAGTTAAAAGAAGAATAATTTTCATATTTATTTCATTTTCATTCAAATGATATACATTATTCATATATTTTTTTTAAAAATTGCCAGCAATTTGAAATTTTACCAACAAGTTATGCATGATAGATAGGTAGCTATAAATGATGAAAAAAAACACAGAAATTGCATTTACCCCAATAGATCAGCACAGAAATCATGATACACAACAAACAAATTCTCACAACAAACACATTGTGGAATGAATGTGGATTTCATATCTGTGTCTTTCAGTGGGAACAAATTCCTACATACAACAAAACATCCGATGTGTAGAAATCAGAAATATACACAGTGATTTGGGAGTAAATGTTTGATGTCATTTTGTAGTGCATCTAAACAGCTGATTTTTAACAATTAATTAAGCTACAAAGCTTAATTAGCAATGTGTTAAAATGATCGAGATGTGGATTTCTCTGTCCGTGATGGATGGAATCGTAAAACATGATTGAAAAATGTTCATATACATGTCTGAATTAGATTAACAAGGCCAGTACTAAGAATTATGAAACATGTTAAGGAATTTAAATGGTGAATCGACTTCTGGTAAAAAAGATTAATACTGATAATTCTGAGATCCTTTGTTAATTAGCATGATTTTTTAAAATATGTATAACTATTCAAAAATGAAAACTTGTGCAGGAGGTAAAAGCAGGAATTTGTAATCAAAATCAAAAAGAGATGGTGAATTTTAAGTAGAAAGTCATGATTAGTTATAAACAGGAGAAGGTTTGTACATATTGATATATTTTTAAGGCCAGCATAGTACATGGTAACAATAAATGGGGTTTTGACTAGAAATAATTTACATAGAATTAATGGCATATCACAGCACAACCACTTAACAAGCACCTGACAATGGGAGGTAACTCTAACACCAAGGAAATATCCAAGTTCTCTGAATAGCTAGTATTCTGAGTTTCATCCCATTTAAAGAGGCTTGCTCTGGGCACAATTTACACAAAATAAATAATAATAAATTAGTGCACATTGGAATATTTACAAACAAAAACATTAATTCTATAAATACTGCTACAACTAGGTCAGTTCTATAACCACAATTGTAATTATTGTGCAAGAACGTAAACTGTGATAAAATGGAACAAAATATTAAGTGATTCATCAATAACTTATACACTCCATAATTTTTAGGGTAAATTATTCAGTTCTTGTTATGTGCCAGAGGCTTTATTTAATTTTTTGTGTATGTTGTGAATCGGCATCGAATTAAGGGACTGCTAATGAACAAAAAGACCTAGGGCAGAAAAGCTCATTAATCGAATGATGTAAAGGCACCAGAATTTGGTGGCTTTGTCACGCAATAACCATGTTTAATCGCGGGATACAAGAGCCCTTATGTCTTATCAATGCAATGATATTGATTTCTATGTCAAATTCAAAACAATCACTTTTTCCACTTTTTAAACCTGGTGTTGAGTCATCAGGGAATTGGAAAAAAATCTCTTTATCCACCTAGAGATGAAACTCATTGATGCCAGTCATAAAATATTTGTGCTCTATTGTTGTCATTCAGAAGAGATTTCTTTCTTTGATGCAGTTTTTGATATGCCGTAACTTAAAGTACATGGTGTGAGAGAAAATGTGTCAAAATGGAGAGCTGATTTTTTTTTTGTATATGTACAATGTAGTATATAAATATGTAATAAAAATATATTGCACAATATGTGTTTTTCATAGATACACATCAGATGTATATTGCACCATTAAATCCTCCATGTGTGCGTGCCATTATAATCTTGTTATCACAGATCAAGTTTAGAAACAAAAGTAAAATGCAGTCTATTTCTGCGGTCACTGTAAGGTGAAGTGAAGCTGGAGTCCTGTCCACTTGAAAATCTTAGTCTCAGCTGAGGTCTGTGGACAGACATTTGTCATTAATTGTTTGCTGAATAAACACCAATTTCTTGCTTCATCAGCTCACAGCAAAATTTCATGCCAGTAAATTCAGCAATTGCCGGGCACAGATCTCCTTTGGTTCTTGCCGCTGGACTTTGAATGCCTGCTTCTGGGGCTTGAGAGGGGAATTTAATTACAGCGAAGTTTGATTGTTTAGTCATGAATTAGTGAACTCTTCTTACTGACACCCTCAGCAGTCAATATAATTATAGAAATTGTCACTGGACACGTTACTATTGCGGAATTCCGTGCTATTTCTGTAGGCTGGGTTTTGGACCTCTATGAATCTGTTCTTGTCCATTCGTCTTCTTCTCTCTTTCCACCATTTTATCCCCAGAAGGATTAGAAGGACAAACAAAATAAAACTCAGGGTCCCAATCACACCTCCAATAATGGCCACTGAAAAAAACAAGATTAAAAAAACATTTAACTTTCAATATCTTTAAAGAATAGCAGTATCCAACATCTAAAAAAGTTTTTAGACAACGCTGTTTGTTGTACTTGTATGCCATTAAGGTTCAAGTTATCAAAAAAGAAAATGTAAGTTTGTTTTTGATTTCTAGAGGCTTTTGTCAGCATAGTGAAGGTTGCCTTACCAAAGGGTAGTTTATTTTCCTCAGTCTGCATTCTGACAGTATCAGTCCTGGTCATGGGAGCAGGGGCCTCTTCATCAAAGACTTCAGAAACTGTAGTGGTTCTTACAACCGGTGAGGCGGTGGTGGTTGTCAGAAGTGGTGGATCAGCTGTAAAACAAAATAGCCATTAATTATTAACAAAGATGAGGAATAAATTATCTCACACCAGTACCTCATCATTCCACTAATAGGATTTTCACACATGAAAGTCAATTGAAGGGAGGACTTAATTTTTCAAATATGGTTATCGGCGAAAATGAACTGTGAATTATTCAGTTCATTAGCAGTGATGGAGGGGAGTTTGGACTGCCTGAGATTACACACCTTCGTAATACAGCCAGAATCCCTTGTGATTTTCGATCCCGTTTGACATAAGCTGTATGAAGAGCTCGTCCCACATGATGGATATAGGCTCGTTGGCACGACGGGCACACAGAGTGACGCTGCGTGACTTGTCCCTGGCATATAGGTAGTCCATACACTGTATGGAGCCATTAGTTTCCAGGTCCATGTCGATCACAAAAAGTCTGATGTTTTGGTTGGGTTTCACATAGATTCTGGCAGAGCAGTCCAGATTAGATGGGTAGTTGTTAGGGTAGCCAGGGCTGGCTAAATACCCGGATTGGTCCCTCAGATCCTCAACATTACAAATACTTCTGGTCATGTATGCTGAAATTTCAAAAAAAAAAGTAAGCATAAGAAATGTTTATTATATTTATTTAAGGAATTTTTGTAATGCATACTTTTGAAGGCCGTATTAAAGTTTTTTTAGATTTTGACGATTCCAACTGCAAGATGTGAAATACAACATGTATTTTGTGTATTTTTTCACGTCATTTCATAATAATTGAATGATGATTTTTAAATCCATTGGAGATTGACATTTTAATATATGAAATTTTACTCTTCATATCAAATTGCAATAATTGAATAATTAATTTGCTGTGCATTATAAGTATAAAAACAATTTCTGACATTATAACAAAGAAAACAAGTAATTATTTGTTCTGATTTACTGTACACAAACTACGGAGTCCTTAGACCACACCATAGAATTCAGTTATTACATACATCTACCATAATATACTGTGATACTTAATATCTATGTATTAGTCATATTCAGTGCATTCCCACCGATATAAGTATTTTACCACATAGAACAGACAATGCTGGCGGATCTGGTCCCATTGTTAATTCTATACACTTATTGACATAGGCAATCTTCCCTGAGGAGGTTGACAAGCAGGCATGGGAAATATCCACAGGGGCATTGAATTAAAAAATTAATGGTATTGATTAATTATTGTGCTTGATATTAGAATTTGTTAATCAGTTTTATCTATCAGGGGTTGGGTCCAATGTCATTCAAGGCCCCCAATGGACAAGGCTAAAAACAGTGATCTGTCGGCCGTTTTTGGACCGTATGCGTGGGAATTGGCGATGAGAACTTTAACTGCTTTTTTAAGGAACCAGTGAGCCAATTCTAGTATCATCAGATTTTTGGCATGTCATAAAAAATCAGTTTGTGAAAGATTTAAATGACATTGTTAATGCCTTAGATATGATCAAAGTTCAGTATTTGTTAAATTTAAAATTTTACAAAAATTTTAATTGATTTTGTCCACATAATTTTAGGGATTTTTAAAAGAATTAATTTTTCTCATTATTTGAATTCCTTTATTTGTGTTTAAATGAAAATCACAAATTATAAAGTATTCAGAAAAAGAAGGTATGCATTGAGTGAAGTTGTGAAAAATATTCAATTATTTGAGAAAATTTTGAGTTTTTATATTAGCCACAGCTGGTCATATTCCATAAAAATTGAGAAAAAACAAACTTTGAAGATAACATTACTCCCGAACTCAATAAACTCGGGGCTGATTACGATTGTGAAATCCAATAGAGTGGACTATGAGGCAATTTATTGAATAAATTTATTGTCCCAAAGTACAAGAGCATATACACCGTAATCCTTTGATTTTATTCACTGCATTGCAAAAGGTGATTTAATTTTGACACCTGCTGTTTCAAACTAGTGGCTCAGTGAAATAATGCAATTAGAATTTAGGTCTTTGTCAGTTGTGCTGGTTGCCTTGGGGACATCTGTTGCTGTGTGCTGGATACGCCTGATTGGGGGCCTCCATCTGCAGATGGAGACGGTGACAGATGGGGGACCATGACAAAAATGGAGGGAAAACAGAGACAGCTGTTTGATGACAATTTTTTTTCTCACTCTTAGTTACTAGCCAAATTCAAAAAAAATTTTTTTTAAGTGGTTAAATTTAACTAATTCTTTTTTATTTGTTATTGCAAAAATGTTATTAAAAAAAAAAAAAACAAGCAAAAATACTTTCAATTAGTAAACAGTTCTTTTAAAATTGAAAGGTTTTTTTTTTTTTTTAAATTTTGCCTGTGTGAGTGTATTTTTTTTATTATGGCGAAATGAATCATGATGTTAATTTTGTTCAGTTGAAGTTTTAAAAAGTTCTATTTCCATATGCTTATATGTTGCTATATAACTGCATGTGGAACAAATTCAAGTTGTGCATGAAATATAGCAAAGTTTTTTTGTAGCATATGCTGTTGCACTTCTGACCTGAGTGTAGAAATCTGGATTTAATGCAATAATGGGTCAGAAGAAGTGAAAAGAGCACATTATTAGAAGTTTAAGTATCCTGTTTGGCTGCAGATACCTAATAATGATCTAAACTGGACCCCCACCCCGAGGCCTGGCAGCTCACTCGAGCATCATCGTTAGCAGAAAGTTAGCTGCATAGACAAGAATGATGAATTAGACATAAAAAGAGTTCCTGAAGAATGCCAAAACCTAACACAAAGACTGTGCCGGTTATTGTACGATCTGGGAGAGTGTAATTGAGGTTAGGCCCTGATCAGAAGCTACAAACAAGACATGCTCAAATAATTGTTTTTATAGCAGGTTTGAAGTTTTGTCTTGGCAAGAATGAATTAAATGGGAAATGTTATGAATTCTAAGATGGAAATTTTACAGCTTAAATGTATTCAATGGTCTGAAAATGAAAAAAAAATGATAAAGATTTTGTTTGTTATCGAGTCTACAGGTATTTTTATAAAGCAACTTTAAAGTTTAATGGGCTTAAAAAGATTTATTTCAAAAGTTTACATAGATTATAGAAAGCAAACAAGGACATTTTTCACTGAAATGCTATGCTTTCAAACTTTCTAATGATTAAGATCTGCTTTAAAAAAGTATATCAATTTCAGGTGCAGGATTGAACAATGCTAGATTTAATTATTGATTCACCTGCGGAACAGTTTTAAGAAGTGTTCAGTGCTCATTACTTCGCACACAAAATGATCGCAAGATCGATTGGCGTGATATTCCTCTGCCGTAAGAAATTATCACAAGGTGTCAGTTATCTGTGTTGTTAAATTTTCTGGAGTTTTATGAAGATTGAGTTTTAAATTGAGTAAAGAGCTTGAGAAGAAAATGAAATTATTTAGGGTGAGCAACTTTAATTCTGGAAGGGGAGGGGCGGGGAGAAGTGTAAAAATTCCCTGCTGTTAAGCTGAGCTTCTTTAACACATTTGCTCCCTAAAACTAGCTAATAATCTATCTCACTTCATGTAGGATTTAATAACTTGTAAATAACATGTGCTACTCAAAGAGTGCATCAAATCAAGCATAAGTTAGATGAAAGCAAAGGTTCCATTTTATCTCAACGGCTTTCATTTCTGTTTCTCGGGATGCGTAATGTGTGGATTTTTACCTGGAACACATTCGTAGTCTACTTGGAAGTAGGTACTCTCTTGCTGGCAAGACGGAATCTTCCGACCAAACCCTCCGCTGGGGAGGTTGATGCTGCAGGTCTCTTTCCCCACACAGGGGTAGTTCTCGTGCTCCATATAGATGCAGTCACCGGGGGCGAAGGAACACCTCCCCTCACTGTTGTACCCAAAGAAAACCTTGTGTATTCTCAGCATCGTCCGCGGAGAACACTGAATGTCGATTTTGTTAGCTCGAGAGAAGCAGGCACTTGCTGAACTGATTTCACCTGTCATAAAGAAATAAAACTAGGTTCATTTTGATAAAAAAGATTCTGTATATAACTCATCAAATGTTGAAAAATATGCAGGAATGAACTTAGGCACTTTAATGCACTTGTTTCTTTTTCTTTCTATCATGTAGGACTTGTTAAAAGAAAGACACTTATAATTTTGAAAGTTAAGTTTTTATTGCTTTGGGTTTTTGAACCGGGTGGAAAGTTTTAATTTTCAGTTAACAAACAACAGTCCATATTTTTGCCCTGTTCCTTATCTCTTAGCTAAGAAGTATTATGTGTATAATATTTGAAGTAGTGTATATATTATGACACATTATTGTTGATCTTGTAAATTTAATTGATATGATGTTTAAGAACTTTAAAGTTTGTTGTTTTTAGGCTACTTAATTCTTTGTGTATGTGAATTCCCTATCATAATATTTAATTCTCACAAGCTTCAGATGTCTTTCATGGTTATACAAGTTCACGGTTTACAAAAGAAGGGCATTATCTTTAGATATAGGCAGTTCTTGACATTGTCCCCTTTTCTGATAATAAACAGTACATGACAATAATACTCTGATTAACTGATTAAAACGTCTAGAAAAATAAAGTACATTCAAATTTTTAAAACTAAGACATAAATAGGAAGATTTTCTCACCAAAATGTCTAACATTTGCCTACATTTTCTGTAGTAAAATAATGTAGTAATATTGAATATGAATATATTCCCAAAGTTCACTTAATTAGGACCAACACATTCTCTCATTAAGCCAACACATTTCTAGTGCTGAATATGTTGTATGTCATGCTAAAATTCATTGTTATTTATGCTGTCTGTGAGCAATCAATATTAACCTTGACAGTTTCTGGGTTCTATTGTTATGTGATGTTTTATGATAACCAAATCATAAAAACTAACAAATATTTCTGAGGTATTGCTAAATTTTGGTACTTTCTGATTCCTCGCTATTTTTTAAAATTATAAATTGTTCATAAAAAAGTAAAGAAAAAGTAAAAAAAAAAAAACAAAAAGAAAAACAAAAATTTGATAAGTTTATCAGAAAGCCTTTACCTGAAAAATAAGATAAAATTTAAATTTTCTTACCTGTAACAAGGTCTAGTAAGCTGATGATGAAAATTACAATGGGGATGATGATATTGGATGCCATTTCTTTGGATTCTAAACTGACACTAAATCACTCAAAACTGTCTACCTATAGAAACAAAAAAGTCCAAACTAAAAAGACTCTTCTACGTAAGGTGCTATCTGGTCAACTTATAAAGCTATCTGTTGTCCTGTTCCATCTGTCTTCTGAATTTATACCCAAGAGTCCAAGACACAGCTGAATGGGTACAAATTGATTATCTAATTAATTCCACTCTTCAAAAATAAAATAGTGGTCCTACATTTTCATGCAGTTTTCATCAAGTGGTTCTAACATCAAAAGCTCTGAGCCGTCACTGGGTCTGACAAGAGAGGGAGGAGCTAAGACAAGGGGCTTTTGTACCAAACACGCGTAAAAAAGTGCGCCACACTTCCCTCCTGCTTTTGAAATATTTGAATAATTGATTAAGTCTTCTATTCTTCCCTACAGAAAATGTTTTCCATCTGTCAGAGTATTTTTAGCCGAGTCTTTTGATTTGGAGATCTGTTGCTTTTTGCCTGAGTTCCTGTTGTCAGTCTGAGGAAGGGGGAGGGGCTAAGATAGGGCTCCTGTAAGTTACCTGTGTAAGATAATCACCTGGCCACGCGACCAGCTGTCATGGTAGAGTGATTCCCCATATAGACTCTACACCACAACAAAGGAGCAGACGTGTGCCGATAATTATAGTCAGCTAGAGCCGTTAAAATACTTAAAGAAGAGCATTATACTCCTGGCACATGTTGATCCTCAAGACACCATGTGGCTTGCAATTTCCAAAATCTTGGCCAATCAAAACTTGGAGACACCACTGAACAAAAGAAATGGCGCGTGGCCATTGTGCACCTGACATTAGGTATGACCCTGTTTAATCAGAAATTTGTGTTCAAAGAGGATATCAGTTTATAAATGGGCCATCTGAAGATAAACCCTCCTAGTCTCACCTGTCGCAGAAACTGGTCATCAACAGTTGGTAAACTGTGGAACTATTCTACAGCTGTGATAGAAAACCCTCATATTACCGTTAGGGAGGGTACATAAGCTGGTGTGGTCTATATAATGCATCCATTTGTTAACAGCCCCTATTATTGATCCACAAATGAGTTATAATATTTAACACAACATCTGCACCATGTGAAGGCCTTCAGATAGTTTTGAAAAAAAAAATCAAAACAGTCACTGAAAAATACATAATGAGCAAAAAGGTTAATGTACTTTGTTGAAAGATAATATTTTTCAATCAATAGATGAAAAAGTATGGAATTTATGTTAACCAAGTTAAGATATGATTCATTAAGAAATTTTAATAGATTGCATAAACTAGATGAACTGAAACAAAGAATTTATTGCCAGAAGCAAAGCATAGAATGAAACCTGACACAAAATCAAATCCCTGGAATCAATATAAGAGGATGGCTTATAATCGGGGCCCAGAGTTAAACTGTGGCAGTTGGTATAAAACATGAAATGTTACGTTTGTATGATTGATAGGTCACAAATTCAGTTTTAGTGACTGTTTTCAAGATTGACAATACTGTACTTGAGATCTATGTTACAACCGTTACATTTACTTGGATAAGAATCAGATTGAGTTGAGTTTTGTTTTTTTTTTTTTGCACCAATGCCTGAATAAAATGAATCTTTTTTGTGAGTGTCTACACCAAAAATCTGCCATCCCACACCTGCTGTTTTACTAAGCATCCATAATTATTCTTTTGTTCCGTCAAGTTGAAAGATGAAGCCAATGACACCTGTACTACCAAGGTCATGGTTTTTACGTTTTTCCCGCTCGTGCATGCCACGATTTTGTGGTAGCATGCATCAACCAGCCTTATTCAGCAGAGAGTCAAATCACAGTATCACTGTATAACAAGTCGTGTCATATACATATCTAAATTATTAATGGTTAAATAGTATTGTGTGCCACAATGAAACTTGGGTATATGTGTCTTTTATTCATGCATAGCATTTTCCATAAATTAATAATGTTCAAAATTAAGTCAATTATATTGGCCAGAAATGTAATATACCTGATGTATTAATATTTTTAGACTTCAAAAACATAAATTACATGGAAATTTTACAGTTTTAAAAACATTTTTTTAATAGAATATATTTATACATTTTAATTGAAAACTTTTAAATACTATTCAGAAGATTCTGAATTTCCATTATAATATCCATTTAACAATCAACATTTTTAGATAAATTGGTCATAGTTTTTTTTAAGAATATCAGTGGAATTCGGGATCAGTGTAATTAATTGATGAATGTCAAAGCTGGTGATCTTTAATTAATTACTTTATGAATATAAGTATATAAAATGATATTATATACATGTGTAAGACACAGGATAGGTTTGACCTATTGTCCAGGAACACATATTGGTTTCCATGTTCATTGTAATTTCTGTCATATTTTGCGATATTGCCTTCACAACAGATTGCCACAGATAAAGGTAGATAAGGTGTCCGTTTCAGCCATTCCTTTGTTTTCTGTTCGGTTCTTATCTTTTGGACAAAGGACAGTCACTGATAACAATAGGGACGCGTGGCAAATTTACGCCAAACCAAACAATATTCCACCAATACAAGGTTATTAAATCATAACAAACTGATTATATTGGCTGCTGATTGCTTTATAAAAATTCATAACCTCCGTACTCAATAGCCAAGCTCTTTTGTTTAGGTTTGTTTTAATGGGTATTTTGTAACAAATTTATTTGGAGAATTGTATTTATTAGCTTTGCAAGTATGCCCACCCTACATAGGTTTTTTTTATTATTATAAAGTTGTAGATCAATTGATTGATCAAATGACATAAAAATGCATATTCTACATGTATTAAAACATCAAGACAATTATTCATTCCTGAAATAAAGAATATAAATATTTGAAAATGAATTTTAAGAATCTGCGTTTGCCTGCAGGTGTCATTCTCTTTGTAATGTTTCTCTTAATTAAATACTGCAACTTAAAGAACTCAAGCATTGTGAAGTTAGCAGATAGTGCACATAAACCCCCCTTAATGTTACACAAACCCCCTCCATACTATATTGATCCCTTTGGAAAAGCTTTAAATAAATCTTTAAATATTTGCTGGAATTATTGACACTTTTATTTGGTGATTGGAGCATTGATTTTTGTTACGAGACCATTTATTTGTTTAGTGTATTCTCTCATTGTTACAATCTGCAAAGAAGGAACTCAATTAGAGCTCCCAGGAAAATGTTGATAAATATTAAATTAATGGACATTTGACCAATTTACTAGAATTTTTGGGCATGTTTGAGAAATTAGAAGCCAGCTTGATTGGGTAGTTTCCTGGTGTTTAGGACAAGTTTGAGAAATTGGAATTGAGCTTGATTGGGTAGTTCCTAGAATTTTGTTCACAGAAGATTTACAGTGGCACTCTGAGATCATATCAAAGTTTTTAAACAGACCTTGCCAGGGTAGACTAGGTGATTCGAAGGTTTCTGCAGACTCCCTTTAGTTTTGTTGCTCTGAGTCAAATAATAGCTGGATGATTGATTTTCAGGAAGATTTTGCGGATTTTCTGGTCGTTTATTGCATCATGTGTGATTTTTCTTCACACCTGCAAATTTCATTGAGAGGAAGTAAGGCTACATTGATCATTAGAAATGTTCTATAAAGAGAGCTATCCCGTCTGGTATTGTTGATGAAAGTTTATGCGTTCTATAGATACAAAGGAACTGATTCATATACACAATATGTAGGGTTCTAAATTATATATCCTTTCCCAAGAACTCTTTTCCTAATTTTAGGAGTTCTGTTTTTATAGTTTTTCATGGATTTGCTACGTCATTTTTCAGTTCACTGTAATTAAAGAAACTTTTTTTGAAGTAAAAATAATCCAGACATAATAATTTTAACTTTTTGACTGTCAAGGTCAAATAAGGCATCTGAGGATTTCAAGGACACTTTTTTAATTTAAAAGGTGCAGGAAAATTCAAACCGAGTAGAATTTAAATATAACCCTCCATACCAATTAATACATAATGAAATGTTGAAGGTTAATTAACATTATGCATTTATAATCACATGATATAGAATTTTGTAAGGAACACGGTTGGCCTGCACATTATTTGTGTATGACATATATATTTATAATTTCTGTATCACAGTTCTCCTAACAGTGAATTTACTCTCTCTTCTGTTAGGAATCATGTATATTCATGCCATCTAAGAATCGAGGATAATTATTTCCTTATTCTCAACCATTTATAAATAAAATAATGTTACTGTCTTTTCCTGAACTGAATATTAAATACTGTAATAGATAAAGCGATGAAAGCTTGAATCTCTAGTAACAATTACTTTCCGATTTTAATCGATGTCAGTATATGTAAGCAAATGCTTCTGATGACCCTTTGACCTGTAATTAATTGGATGATGGCTATAATTACTAGAGGCTGTGCCCCGTGACCTTGATGTATGGTTTTTGTCCTGGAGCGGACTCTCATATAAACAGAGATTGTTTACACAGGCTACCCCTGTTTCTAATTATTAGCTCGTTATGTGAACTCAGTTGACATATTAAGATGTCCTCCAATGAGAAGAAAAAATTTTTATGTCCTTCAGAATAAAAAAAAAGATTGTGAATATGAAAATCTCCTGTATCCTGCTGTGTGTAAGAAAATTTATTCAGTTTTATTGAATATATATTTATGGAAAATAAATTAATGCTGCATTGAGTCAATTTATTTAAAATTTTAAATGCATTTGATGTCTATCATATTTAAATTGTCAAGAGTAAAGTGAGAATTTGTGCTATATTGTGGAGAAAGATTGATATAATTGTATCAGTAGGTTCCCAATTGTTAGATTGGCTGTTGTTATCCGATTTAACACAGTTTAAGGGTAGATGTAGCCCCCTGTAACATTTGTTCAGAGTGTTGTTATCTGATTAACACAGTTTAGTGGTAGATGTAGCCCCCTGTAACGCAGCCCTGTTATTGGGTGTAAGGTGTGTGTGTCTGATTTCGCTGGAAATGGGACAGTTTGACCACGTTTGATGTTGAGGACCTTGCCATTGATCTGTGAAGTGGACAATTGGAGAATGACCTGGTCATTTAATCAGATTGTCACATTGACCGACAATGTCCACCTGTCACTGCTTCATGCTTCCCCAGTCTCGTTGTATAAGGATCCTCCAATCAAATGTCTACGTCAATTGTCCAGAAGACAGTCTGCTCTATTAGGTTCTTGATGAATTCATTCAGACATGGATTAAGTGGAGACAAAAAAAAAAAAAAATACAGTAATGATGAATATTTAAATTTAAAAAAAAAAATCTTAACAGCTAGTGTGAGTCAAAAGAATTTGTAAATGATAGATATTTAATTTTTTTAAGTTTTATTTTCCAATTAATACACACAACTCATCTGGCAAAAAAATGAGCATATTTCAACATGCAGACTTAATTATATTCATTATGCAGTTAATTAAAAGAGATATAATTTAAGACTTCTTGGTCAAAGGTCAAGATTACTGATAAAATTACACTCTAGGGCCCTGGGTGACATTGTCAGGTTTCTTTCTTTTTTTTTTTTGGTTTATTTTCTGTTGCCAACTGCAACATGGCAAGTCTTACCCAATTCCTGGAAATACTTGGCAATGTAGATTGCCTTTGTTTACAATATAGACCCAAAGAATGCCAAATAGTGTGGTACTCTGGTTGAGATAGTGCACTCTGTAGTAGGTTTTTGACATAGATATGAGTCCCAGTATCTAGATCACAGGGCATATTTACTGTTACAGAGAATTAGGATACTTGGCAGTCAGCTGTCAACTTGTTTAACTATTCCAGATATTTTTACTTAGCATTATGGCCCTTGTGTAATCCATGCACAGAAAGTTAGATGTTTTTCTTTGAATAAAGGATGCTAATTTTAAAGAATAAAATCACTCTGTATATGGAAAAAAAAAACTTTAAAAAGTATATAGCTCC